ATTAAATATGGGGGAAATATTTACAAAAGGGATAGCTTGAAATTTGAAAAGGAGGGGGTGAAAGTATATACAAAGGGATCGAGAGGAAAAAAGCAAACTGGAACGAGAAAAAACAACAAAACAGAGAAAAACAGAGAAAGAAGAAAGTTATATGTATAGGGGAAAATGGTATTTGGTGTAAAGAAAAAGAAAAATAGAAGAGAGGATGGGGGGGGGAGAGAGAATGTGAAATGCTGACATTTATATTGAAGAGGAAGGCAGAAGAGAAGATGGAGAGATGATATAACATCATACATGGGAACGGACTAGGATAGCTAGAGACAGAAGAGAATGGAATTCATGAGGAGGGCTTTGTCCAACGTCTGGATGAACTATAGCCTGATAGATATATAGCTAGATTTCGCTTTATTCAACTCATTTCCATCTATGTTTTAAAAAACATTGATACAATATATTCAATAACGAACACCTATGCAAATCTGTATAGAATGAATACATTGCAATAGAGTGTGAACTAACTAAATTTGGCACAGCTGCATGTTCAAAAATCCTACATGGATTTTTTTTTTTTTAAAGACAGCTTCCTTTAAAATTAAGACTTGGTACATAAAGATGGTGGAGGCAGTAAATTAATATGAGAATAATTTGCATCTTGTACCAACACAAACTAAAAATACTATTAGAAAGGACAGCTGAAGGAAAGCGAAGGAAAGCAAAGGAAAAACAAGTTTTATCGGTGAAATAAAAATAATTTAAACTATTGAAATGAATTGCCGGACATCAGTCCAAAATATATCTATTTTTTTCTGACGATGAAGATCACTGATGGAAACAATTGCACAATTTACAGTAACCATCTCATCAATACCACGAAAATATCTTAAGGTATAACAAAACTGAAGAAGTGTTTCAAAAGGACATTAAAAGCATGTACGGTGTGATCTCTCGATACAAGGATTTAATTTATGCTAATTTCGTTTATATTATTGGTGATCTAAATAATACCATAGATACTGCAGAGGTTTGTAATAGGTTTTTACTCAGAATCGAGATTCAAAATGAAATTTCATAGAGATGACGGGGTAGTATAAACTATAAGCTGACATATGATTATGCACCTGAGCGTAGCGATCTAGCAGATTAAATGAAACAAATAGATTTCTGAAAAAATATCAAATTACAAATCTCAAGCTTTTTTCAAGTTACCGATATTGATAGTTATGTATATTCTTTATGTCTGTTGTTTCTGAATAACAAATACATGTATATAATTATCTTACAATTAGACATTTTAAGGTGAACAGTTTACTGATTCACTGGATGCAATGGTATGTGCCTTTCATTCCGGGTTACTGTGTTTTTAAATCACTATACTCAGAAATTAAATTACAGTTATTGCTGAATTTTCAGACAATATCTCATTTTTTTGACTGACAAATGGTATCTGGAAAATGAGAGGAAGAGTATGACATTAATGCTACTAGTGTTGCTAGTGATGATTATGATGGTGATGATGATGATGGTGGTGATGATGAAAATGATGATAAAGATGATAATAATAATAATAATAATATTTAATTTTTATATAGCGCTTAATACAAATGTCTCTAAGCGCTTTACAAAATATACTATGATAGTGATAATGATGCTGGCGGTGATGAAAATAATGCAGATAATGTAACAATATAATTAGTTGTGATGGCTGTGATGATTATGATGATTATTAATTGCACCTACACATTTCAAAACAATCCCACACAATTCATCCTTGTCAATAGCCCCAAACTTTCTAGAAATGCAAGTTGGCAGAAGATGATCCCAGTGCAAGTGCTGAGATTGAAAATTTATTGCAAGAGTAGTGGTGAAAGCACATTCTACAAAACATTACATTACAATCTACGACATTCACAGAGGATAAAGCCTGTTTTGTGTGATCATTTCACTAGCTGCCAGAACTTGAAAGAAACCAGGCAATGTGCTATATGTGATCAATATTATGGTGCAAGTACTTTAAATTAATTTAATAGGGTATTCCACCAATGCATGATGAATAGCTTCAGAAAGGTCAAGTAAAGTTTGAAATAAACCGCAAGAGATAACTGAAAGACTTGATGGCTCCCACAATAAATATTCATCAGGGCTCAGTCTTATAAAAAGTTGTGATTAATATGCATCTTTCTTGTGAGTGATATCAATCGCAACTATGTACATACGGCATAGGGGACTGCAAACTTGCGATTGATTAGAGGACTTGCGATTGATTCAATTCAATCACAACCAAGTTTCACACACACAAAAAAAAAGAATCTGTAGAAGACACACTACTGTACAAGCAATAACAGCTTCCCAAATACCACTTTAGGTTCATGAACTTATACCAAAGTTTTATTATACAAATATACAAATATTTACACAAATATTTCAAAAAACATAAATGAGTCAAATCCACCCATTATAGATCAACAAGTTTGTATGACTAGGTATAATATAAATATATATGTTTACATATATAAGGAAAATTTGGGCAAAGAGGTATTACAGATTTGGTTTTGCCGCAAGGAAGGGGGGTAGTCAGGCCCCCTGTGCTACCACCCACCCCCACCCCCCTGGTCCCCTACTGGACAAAAATTTGCAAAAAATTGGAGCTCTTGCCTCAAGTTAGCTCTTAACATAATTTTCACAAGAAATGGAAAAGTAACAATATTGGTGTATTTGTTGATAACTCATCTTGATGGAATGTGTAAAAGTGTCTATTTTATGCAGAAATTTACATATTCTGTTAAAATTTCACATTTTGATCACTGATAAGTACACCTTCTTTTGAAGGTTATTAGAAACTTTCTAAAGACAAAACATAAACCAAACCGAGGAAAATTCAACTACAGAATATTCCAAGGATTGGATACTTCCCTTCAAATCCAATTCTAGTGATTACAACTGATACCAAAAAAATTATGGACTGTATAAAACACTATGGATATACATACATGTATATCATTAATACAAGATATATGAATCTAAAATGTATAGCATAATTTGTCCTTGTTTTCACAAAGTGATGGTAGTGAGGAAAATTGTAACGCAAAGTGAATGCAATTTTTTTTCGCTACCGTCACTTCGTGAAAACAGCGACGAATTATGCTCAATGCAGAGGTTTGCTTTAAATTTACATCAAAGGACAAATTCTATGGTTTTTCCCCTTTCACACTGCAGTATGTATTTGATTACTTGTAGTATTGTTAAGGTTATCAACATATGAATAGTGTTTTTAAATGGAAAAGTTGTTTCGTTTAATTTGCAGCTACATTACACATTTCGACTGCTGACCAAAGTCTTACAAGACTGAAATAGAAGAATACTCTAATTTATCGACAGAATTAATCTCGAACCAATTCCAGGTTATATGAAATAAATGACGAGCTTAAACAAAAGATAGGATAGAGTGGTTAAACACCTCTTCTTTTCTTCATGAAAAAAGGATTTACCAGTAAACTTTGTTTTAATGCTTGGATATCAAATTTTCCTTTACCTTTTTAACCTTTTGAATCACTAAAAATAATAACGAATACTTAAAAATTATACCTTGAATCACATTTACAGTTTTCACAGAATACCCGTAGCCATTAATAATTCATCCAAAGATGTTCATATTGTATTTTAAGTTTCTACCATAATCTTAATCAATTCGAAATTACAGAGGTATGTTGAAAGTTTATTGTCATTGTATTTATTTGCACGATATGTACGTACATACTACAGTGTATCTTTTTGATCTAAGTCCTTGTAAGAAAAAAATCCTAATTTATTTGTTACGACTGTAAAGACGTTTTGAATCAATAAATCATGACAAATCAACTCAAAGCTCTGTTAGGATCAGTGTATTATTTTAGTATTAGTTTCAATCCAAGCAAAAGTTGTGAATATGAAGGGAATGCAGCTAGGTCAGACAAACTTTACCCGATATAAGAAACACCCCTTAGTGGTCAGCATTACATGATTTTATCTTCCTCCTCTTCCTTATCATCATCACCACTTTTCCATTTATGTAGTTTATCTTCATCTTTCTATCTTCACAAGTTATCACTAAACACATATACCTGCCAACATTTGAAAATAAGAATTAGGAATTTTTAGCGCAGTATGCAATCAAAAATAAGAAATCGCACTTGCAGCGGAAGTGTAACTGGCAATACGTGGTAAATCTGTACCAAAAAGTGAATAAAAATCCGCTGCTCTATCATGCAGCCATTTAACGCACGCAATACGTAAACTCTCAAATCGCGGCACATGATAAAACGAGCTTAATTTGGCTTATTAGCACCAACAACGACAAAAAAAAATCTGAATATTCTGGATTATTCTTCACTTTCCTCACCATCACTAAAATTATTATATTCATCCTCCCACTATTTATCCTACTGCATCATCCCATCATCACTACAGATTATCACTCACCATCTTATTCCTCCTCCTCCTCATAATCATCCTCATTCTCACAACCATCATTCACCAAAAAGCAGTAGAAGCATTCTCCTTCCCATCATCATGCTCCTTATCATAATCATCTTTATTATTGGTAAAATGTCATCCTCGTCATGGCTAAATCTATCTTTATCTTGCTAGTACCACTATTAGACCATAGGGCGAGCCGATTTTAACGCTTGTCTTGTACTCCACATGTTGTGACTACCTGAAACTTATCTAAGAAATAAGCATTATATTTTTAGGAAATAAATTTGTTAGTTCCCACACTGGGAGTTGGGTCATTGTTTAATATTTTGATAAAAAAGGGTTAATATTATTGCAATAAAATCGTCCAATTAAATCGCGTAATTAATCCACTTACGTTGCTAAGACTATAAACTCATCTGATTGGCCCATCAGATTGACAAAATGACAGATTATCGCTAGTCCGCCAATCAGAAAAGTTGTATTAACCGGCTTTGGTACTGCGTTTTTGCGAGTCACGTGTACATACAGGCGCTTTGTTTGCCGTAATCATGTCTGTCGGTGCAAAATCTTATCGAAATTCGTCAAAAAATCGATGTTTTGCTCATTGCTCTAGTGTTTCCGAAGATCTCAAACCTTTCACGACTACACGGTGGAACACATTTGTAAGCAGTGTGAATATTTGGAAAGATTTAGTGGGGTATCAGGCTGATATAGCGAGAGCCTTTTTACGCGAAGTTGGACCTGATGCACTGGTCGATACTGCTGTAGGCTTACCAGTACCAGAAAGTGGTGGATATCACCCGACGTGCTATCGCTATTTCACAGATTCATCCAAGCAAGAGAGAGGGAAACTCAACAAAGACAAACAAAAAACAGACGCTGCATCATGTCAAACTTTAGGTAAGCCATACATTTAACTTAACTTGCGCGAATTCTTTTCATTCAAAATTTTGTTCACAACTGTGAGTGTGAGTGTGACCATTTTTGACCCGTGACTCCGGCGTGGAGAAACCCTACTCTACAGACTAACACATCAAAATTCATCTAAAACTTCCACAGTTGCTCAAATAACGGTCATGATTTAAAAGTCGTTATCTTTCTTATCTGTTTCGTGTCAATTTTAAATCTTTTTTTTTTAATAGTAGACTATATTTCCGAGGCTCAGGCCTAGGCTAGACCTCTACACTTTTTCACAGTCACTGCCACTGGTTTGAACAAGAAGACGGTCTAGATTTTAGAGTATCTCCACGCCGGAGTTACGGGTCAAAAATGTTCACAGTTGTAAACAAGCACAGAGCTAGGTCTAATTTAGTCTTGCACTTAATTTGCAGCTAAAAATAAATCGATTCTAGACCTAGGCCTATAACAAAAAGTGTTCAATAGCCTAGAAATCTAGACTTAGTTTTCAGCTATAACTGGGCTTGGCCATTTTATTTATTTATTTTTTTTTTTTGGGGGGGGGGGGCAATTTTAACTTTCGATTGATTTGTTATTAGTCTAGGTCTATAGCACTGAATACTTTGAACACCTTAACATTTTATTTGTGATTAAATTTAAACGGGATGTTCACATGCAAATGCATTATAAATATAATTTCTTAGTTTTCTGACGGCTTTTGTCTAAAAAGCCGTCAGTCAGCGAAGCTATGGCAAATTTTTTGGGGGGGGGCAATTTTTAACCTTTGATTGCTTTGTATTTGAACACATTAAAATTTTATTTGTGCTTAAATTTAAATCATAAATGGGATGTTCACATACAAATGCATTATAATACAATGTCTTAGTTTTCTGACGGCTTTTGTCTAAAAAGCCGTCAGACAGCGAAGCTATGGTATGGCCATTTTTTTTTTTATTTTTTTTATTTTTTTTTTTTTTTGGGGGGGGCAATTTTAACCTTCAATTTAACCTTTGATTGCTTCGTAGCACTACTTCGAACACCTTAACATTTTATTTGTGCTTAAATTTAAATGGGATGTTCAAATACAAATGATTATAATATAATGTCTTAGTTTTCTGACGGCTTTTGTCTAAAAAGCCGTCAGACAGCGAAGCTATGGCCAATTTTTTTTTTTGGCAATTTTAACCTTTGATTACTTTGAACACATTACAATTTTAATTGTGCTTAAATTTAAATGGGATGTTCACATACAAATGCATTATAATATAATGTCTTAGTGTCTAATTTGTTTCTCCTTGCGCTTAACTCTGTCCAATACAGCCTGTTTTTTTAACTTTACAAGTACAGTTTTGAATACAGCTGATATTTGTTAAATCAATAAATTATATTTTTACTGTTATGACTATGAATTTTTATTTAACCTGCTTGCATAATTGTTCAACATTATTTGAATTGTGAAAATCACCCATTTCTCTCAATTTTCATTTATTTGTACAGAATTGGAGCCTTCTACGTCAAGTGCAGGCGGTCAAGCTCCAGGTCCGTCCTCAGCCTCAGCAATAAGACGCTTACGGTCAAACTCCAGTGTTGCTGGTGCTTCAAAGCAGCCCTCTGTCTCTGCCCACATTCTACCAAAGATTTGCATCATCTGTCGACAAAATAAAACTCATAAGGACTCTGAGGGGAAGAAAAAGAAGGAACCATTAATGCTGTGTCAACAGCCAGATGGTGGAATAGTAGCAACAGCTGCTAAAGACAAGAAGGACGACCACATTCTTCTTCAGATCCAGGACAGAGACTGTGTAGCAATAGAGGTCAGGTATCATCGCAGTTGTTTCAGGAGCTATACTGTCTACCAATCAAGGAAAAGTGTTGAGCCCATCAAGGAGCAGAAGTATGGAAAGGCATTCCTTACATTTTGCAGTTATGTTGTAGACAAGAAGATCATACAAGAGAAGCAAATATATAGAATGACAGCACTGAGAAGATTGTTTGTAAAAGCTGTTAAAGATGTTGAGTCTAAAGATGCATCAAATTACAAGACCTACAGCCTAAAACAACGCCTGAAACGAAAATATCCACAACTCTGCTTTCTTCAGCCTAAGAAGAGGTATGCAAGTGAAATGGTGTATGTCGAGACGCTATCAACTGAAGACCTTGTGCCAGGAGCAGTTGGTTCTGAAGGAGAAGAAACAGACACCACCACTGATACAGACGCCCTATCTGATACTGACACAGACATCACAGACGTTGATGAAAGCATAGAACCTCCAACGAAGCGACAAAAGGGCGGGAATGGTAGACGATCCAAACCTCCAATGGCCTCACTTCGAGATCGCTACGCCTCTGCACTGGACCTAAAGGACGATGTCATGCAGACCAGGACCAGTCTACCATGGCCTCCAACATCATCTGATTTAACATTGGATTCTGCACGCACAATAGTATCCACCAAGCTGTACAATTTTCTAGCATGGGTTGTAGGTGCTTCTGAGGATCCAGAAGAAGAGGAGAAAGTCAAGATAGGAGCAGCAGAAGATCGTCGTATCCTTACAATTTGTCAAGATATTATCTACATGGCTACAAAGGGGAGGAAGATGATGCCCAAGCATACATCTCTATCAATGGCAATGCGTCATTTGAGTGGTTCATCACAGCTGATTGGGCTACTTAACGGTTTTGGATATTGTGTGTCGCACACTAATGTTTTGGAGCATGATACGGCTCCAGGGCTGCAGGAGATAGAGAAAGGTTCAAGTAAGCTTCCGTCCAGTCTGGAAAAGTCATCCTACACTACTTTAGTCTGGGACAATAACGACTTCGGGGAAAGAACACTTTCAGGAAAAGGGACGACACATAATACCAATGGGATAGCTGTACAACATGCACATCTTGCTGCTGTAATCCCTCAAGCTTTACCAGCTCAGAGTATGAAGAAGACAAGACAACGATCTTTGCCTGCACCTGCTACAATACTGGTGAGATTCACTGGCCAGAGGAAGTCATCGCCAGAGGCATTTGATGATTCTGTGGCGCTTGAGATGAGTCAGTACGATGATGTTCTACATTCTAACAAAGAAAAGGATGCAGCCTTCTATGTTGCAAAATCGTCACAGGAACGACTACTGCCATCTTGGACTGGATTTAATCAACTGCTTTCGTCCAATATCCCTCCTAAGGCAACAATAGCTTACTTGCCAGTGATAGATGCAAGCCCAACAGATTTTAACACCGTCCATACAGTACTACACCGAAGTCTGGAGATAGCAGATCAGTTGGCACTTCCAGCCATTGTGATAGTGGTTGATCAGGCCATTTATTGCAAAGCTCAAACAATTCGCTGGCAAGAACCAACATTTCTGAAGAAGATAGTCATTCGACTAGGGGCTTTCCACACAACAATGACGGCACTCGCTTGTATTGGAAAGCGATTTCAGGAGGCAGGACTGCAAGATATTCTTATTGAGGCAGGTGTTGTAGCTACAGGCTCAGTGACTGGTGTGATGAATGGCCACAACTACAATAGAAGTATCAGATGCCATAAGCTTATGGCCGAAGCACTTCATCGCTTGCGCTGGCAGAGCTTCATGGGTTCCTTGGAAGAGGAGAGGCAGCATCAGTACAGAGAAGTAGTGGCATCTCTACAGGGATCATTTCCAAGTGAATTCACCAACCAAGTTCAAGGAGAGTTGTACCAAGCAATGGTCAAGGAGTACAAAGATTTCATTGAAGAAGGAAAGAAGGATGCTACTTTCACATTTTGGTCTTCCTATCTAGATTTGGTTGGAAATATCCTCCTGTTCATACGTGCAACACGAGAAGGAGATTGGCAACTGCATCTTGCTTCAGTCAGAGCCCTGCTTCCTTGGATGTTTGCCTATGACAGAACAAATTATGCACGGTACCTGCCAGTTTATTGGATCGAGATGAGCCAACTTCCAACCACTCATCCATACATTTACAACGAGTTGATGAAGGGTCACTTTGGAGTGCAACGCCAAGACAGTCATGGGTTTGCTCAGGTAGCATGTGACATGACTATTGAGCAGACAGTCAATAGGGATACGAAGACCAGCGGCGGTGTAAAGGGGTTCTCTAACAACCAAGGGGCGACAAACCGCTGGGTCAGAGGCCACCACGAGAGAGCCCTGATCACAAGACAGTGTGAAGTGATGGCTGGAAAGGGCGAGAAGTCTTCAAAAAGAGTAGACTTAACAAAAAGCAGAATGACAAGGGACCAGCAGGATGTAGCCAATATCATGAGTACCATCAACAGCATGACAAATCCCTTTGTGGTCGATCGAGAGACAGATGCTGATGATCTTGTGCATCTCTCATCAGGCATTGTTGCGTCAGTCAGTGTGTGCTCAGATCTTCTGAAAGCAGGCGAGAAGGGGGACAAAGCATTCATCAACTTTGCCAAAACCAGACTACAAGGAGATACCGATCTTAACAAGACCATCACCAAGATGAAACTTAAGACATTTGCCGATTCTGACAAGGCAAAAGTCAACATTAAAGGGAGAGAAGTTGTGCTTAAGAGCGCCCGGGAGTTACTGGCAAGGCTCATCATCATAGGCCGTGTACGCAAAGTTGACCAACGCAAGATGCTCAGTTACTCCTTAAGCACATACCCACCAGCCATTTGTAAAGAAGATGGATGTTTGGTCAAGAACAACAAGGCTGCCCTCCTTCACCAGTTGGAAAATTTGCCAGAGTCATCCCCAACAGTGGATCGTCTGCTGGAGTCAGTATGGATTGTTGATGGTATGGCATTGCTTCAAGGCCTAATACCAAGTCGGATGCCTGCTACCATGGGACAGTTGGCCAAGAAAATCCTGAAGGATGTAGTCTACCTAGCCAGAAGCTCCAGTTCTGATCAAGTCCACTTTGTCACGGACACATACCCACCTGTCAGCATCAAAGGTGCAGAGAGAAAAAGGCGTGCTGCAAGTGGGTCGCAGCGTATAAAGATTACAAACCAAGACCAACCCGTTCCAAAGCAATGGAAGAAATTCTTAGCAAATGGCTTCAATAAGCAACACTTTGCCAAGTTTTTATATGAGTCGTGGAGTGCTTGTGGTGAGGATGAATTCAAGGGAGTTGATGTATATCTGGCTCATTCTGAAGAATGCCACAAGTTATCTTGTCGTAGTGGTACCACGGTCAGTGAAGCGATTCCAGAGCTATACACTACTCAAGAGGAAGCCGACACGAGGATGATGCTACACGCAAAGTACATCAGCAACATGGGTAGGAAGGACATCATCATTAAGAGCCCGGACACTGACGTATTCGTCATTGGCATTGGCATAGCTGCCCAACTTGAGGGTTCCAAGTTGTATTTCCATACTGGCAAGCAAGATAAGGAACGGACAATCAATTTGAATGCCATTCAATGTCATCTTGGAGATCAAATCAGCGATGCAATCGTAGGCCTGCACCCATTCACAGGTTGTGATTCCGTCAGTGCTTTGTATGGACGGGGGAAGACTAAGCCCTTTACGCTGATGTCGCAGACTACAAAGTTTATCAAGGCATTTCAGGAGCTTGGGAAAGCATTCACCCTTACTGATGACCTGGTTTCTACTCTGGAGGAGTTTGTTTGCAAGTTGTATGGGATGAAGGAAATCAGTAAGGTGAATGAAGCAAGATATGCTTTTTTTTCCATGGCGACGAGACAAGAAGACATGCCACCAAACAAGGATGCCCTCATGAAGCACATCCAAAGGGCCAACTATCAAACTGCTATTTGGAGGCGCTGCCTTGAGAGCCAGCCAGATGTTCCGTCACCAGTTGGGCGAGGTTGGCAATCGGTCGATGGAGGGCTTCGAATAGACTGGATGGATATGCAACCTGCTCAACAGAGCATCCTTGAACTTACTTCATGCAAGTGCAAAAAGTCCAAATGTAAAGTCACAGGAGTAGATGCCCAGTGTTGTGCGCCTTTGGGCCTTCCCTGCACAGAACTGTGTGAGTGCAAGAACTGCGACAACATGGCTGTGCCAGGTGAGGAACCAATCATTGGAGAAGAAGAAGAAGCAGAAGCTGATGAAGGTGACAACTGTGACGATGAGGAGAACTTTGAAGAAGAGGAGTTATTTTAACATGTTCAGGTAGGTAGCAAAAACTCATATATCCCATAAATAATAAATAATTATCATCTAGTAAGAACAGTCAGGCTTTGTTCTAAGCAACCAACTTGAAGTTGAAAAACATTGTTTTAAGTTTAACTCTATTAGCCAGCGAAATGTTTATGCAAGTCCATAGTAACTAAACCATGCACATCCAGCAGGCACAAGAGTATCGGAAGTGTACTTACCTGTAAGTGTAGTGCTTGTTTCGATTGTGATTCAGGATTCAAAGCCTGATCCAGTTAAAGGTTTGAACGTAACACGTGACACGAAGGCGAATAATGCAGCATGTTAAAACTATAAATAATAAATGTTTTAAGTTGGCCCAATATCTTACATTCTTATCATTTCCTTTACTATTTTGTCTTTATAGCCTAAGATGATGACATGAGAACCAGGTCCCAACATCTCCCAGCACTACAACATGCGCTACCAAGTCCCAACAGCTCCCAGCACTACAACATGTGCTATGAGAACCAGTCCCCAGCATTATAACATATGCTATGAGAACCAGGTCCCAACAGCTCCCAGCACTTCAACATGCGCTATGAGAACCAGGTCCCAACAGCTCCCAGCACTACAACATGTGCTATGAGAACCAAGTCCCAACAGCTCCCAGCAGCATGGATCGGCCGTAATTACCACCGGTGACATGAAAGAAGTATGTATTGTTTTTGTACTGTAATATTCATTGTTTGTAAATGAACTTGGTAATTCAGAATAATTGTTAAATCAATACAGGCTTTGTTGCAGAAAAATGACAGATTTACATATTTTTAGCTTAAAATGTCATTTTCATTCAAATTTCATCAACTATACAGTGTATTGTGAAATGCTGCACAGTTCACCTTTACATTAGAATACTGCAGCATGTTAAAAGTATGAATAATTCTTTTAAAATTAGCCCAATATCTTATATTCTTATCATTTTCTTTACTATTTTGTCTTTATAGCCTAAAGATGATGACATGAGAACCATGCAGGTCCCCACAGCTCCCAGCACTACAACATGCGCTACCAAGTCCCAACAGCTCCCAGCACTACAACATGTGCTATGAGAACCAGTCCCCAGCATTATAACATATGCTATGAGAACCAGGTCCCAACAGCTCCCAGCACTACAACATGTGCTATGAGAACCAAGTCCCCAGCATTATAACATATGCTATGAGAACCAGGTCCCAACAGCTCCCAGCACTTCAACATGCGCTATGAGAACCAAGTCCCAACAGCTCCCAGCAGCATGGATCGGCCGTAATTACCACCGGTGACATGAAAGAAGTATGTATTGTTTTTGTACTGTAATATTCATTGTTTGTAAATGAACTTCGTAATTCAGAATAATTGTTAAATCAATACAGGCTTTGTTGCAGAAAAATGACAAATTTACATATTTTTAGCTTAAAATGTCATTTTCATTCAAATTTCATCAACTATACAGTGTATTGTGAAATGCTGCACAGTTCACCTTTACATTAGAATACTGCAGCATGTTAAAAGTATGAATAATTCTTTTAAAATTAGCCCAATATCTTATATTCTTATCATTTTCTTTACTATTTTGTCTTTATAGCCTAAAGATGATGACATGAGAACCAGGTCCCCACAGCTCCCAGCACTACAACATGCGCTATGAGAACCAAGTCCCAACAGCTCCCAGCACTATACAACATGTGCTATGAGAACCAAGTCCCCAGCATTATAACATATGCTATGAGAACCAGGTCCCAACAGCTCCCAGCACTACAACATGCGCTATGAGAACCAGGTCCCAACAGCTCCCAGCACTACAACATGCGCTATGAGAACCAGGTCCCAACAGCTCCCAGCACTACAACATGCGCTATGAGAACCAGGTCCCAACAGCTCCCAGCACTACAACATGCGCTATGAGAACCAGGTCCCAACAGCTCCCAGCACTTCAACATGCGCTATAGAACCAAGTCCCAACAGCTCCCAGCAGCATGGATCGGCCGTAATTACCACCGGTGACATGAAAGAAGTATGTATTGTTTTTGTACTGTAATATTCATTGTTTGTAAATGAACTTCGTAATTCAGAATAATTGTTAAATCAATACAGGCTTTGTTGCAGAAAAATGACAAATTTACATATTTTTAGCTTAAAATGTCATTTTCATTCAAATTTCATCAACTATACAGTGTATTGTGAAATGCCGCACAGTTCACCTTCACATTAAAATACAGCAGCATGATAAAACTATTAATAATTCTTTTAAAGTTAGCTAAATATCTAATAAGCTTTTCATTTTTTGTCTTTGTAGCCTAAAGATGAGAAGAACCAGGTCATAACACCAGTAACATGCAGCTCCCAGCAGACTACAACATGCGCTATGAGAACCAGGTCCTAACAGCTCCCAGCAGCATGGCTCTGCCTTAAGTTAAATGAATGCTGTATGTATTGTTCATCAAACTAAAGAAGCAGCACAAAGCAAAGTAGTTTGTTTTTATTGTAATATTTATTGCTTGTAAATGAACTTCCTCATTCAGAATAATTAAATTATTACAGGCTTTGTTGCAGAAAAATGTCAAACTTACGTATTTTGGCTTAAAATGTCATTTTCATGCAAATTTCCTCAACTATACAGTGTTTTGTGAAATATTAAATCTTCCCTATAGATATTTTGTACAATAAATATGAACTTAGACCGCAAAAGCGGTATCACATTCACTGATTAAAACCAATTACCACCTGTATTAGTGAAAATCACTTGCACCGGATGCAGTCCTTTTATGAAGGAATGCTTGTTTTTAGATCTTTTGTTTTGGGCGCCATTTTTTCGGAAGTGCTCCACTTCTGGAAGTGGGAACTATCAGAATATTGATAAGACACACAATACCAACATTTTAAGCCATAGTTTAGGTAGTCACAAGGAGGAGACTACAAAAATCATTTTAGGAAGCTCTTTTGACCCCATGCCCTATAGTCTATATGTGTCATCACTAGACATGTCTTCTTCTTGTTCATCGTCATCTTCTTCTTGTTCATCGTTATCATCATCATCACCATCATCATCATCATCATCACCATCATCATCGTCATCACCATCATCATCATCATCATCACCATCATCATCATCATCATCCTCATTTTCATCCTCATCCTCATCATTACTGGACTTATCTTCTCCGTCTTCATCTTCCTCTTCACTGTTTTCACCTTCACTGTTTTCACCATCACTTTTTTCTTCTTCATCTTCACTTTGGTTTTCCTCCTTTACATCATCACTGGAAAGAGCCTCATAATCTCTGGACTCAAAATCCTCCTTCCTGGGCTTAACTTTTTTGATTGATCGTTTCCCTGATGCGGGCCCCTCATCATACTCCTTAATCAATGTCAACAGGTGTTTCTTCATACCCACCATCTCATGTTTTGTAAAGTCTTGATCAAACGACTTGCTCATCAGGGAAGGGATGCAACGTCCTCGAGTTTCCTTGAACAGTTCATCGTCACTGAACTTCTTCTGGAACTCTGCCACATCCCCTTTGAAGAGCGCATATCGGTTAGGTACGAGAGGACTAGTGTCGCCATCATTACCGGTTCCATGATCTTTGTCGAGCTTCCGTTTCTTGGTGAGGGGATCTCCTGCTGCTTTCCCAGTGTCCTCCTCATCATCTTCTTCATCTCCTTTGGGTTTTTTCTTGAATAATGCGGCTGCCTCCTTGCTTCGCTTACTAGATCCTGTTCAACAAGAACAAGAAATGAAAAGCTGGACTCATTATGTATTGTTCTCAAGTTATGTCCAAATTGTTAAAATGTTGAGATACATATTGCAAGCAGTGTTGAATAATTTGCATTTTGAGATGATCTGTATTTACTGTACTGTAGATTGTGATCAGTTTTGGTTGCACCAGGGTGGGTTTGGGGAGGATGGCCTGCGGGCTCTAGTCATTTAGTTGGCTCTTTCCATACCCAGGCTGCACAGCCTGATGCACCCATAACTGAGATATTATACATGTAGCCTATGTATATTTGATCTTTGTATTATGTTTGTCTGTTATTTGTTATACAAAATGCCAAATAAACAAATATTTTGAAATGCAACTGAGCTTTCATTCTGGATCGCTGTTCATCTCACCCATGGTTTGGCCAGGTTCACAAAGGACACATTCATCATAATCTGTGATTTTAGACCGTTTCTGGTATAATATGATATGTCCTTGGAAATAGATAGATAGAATGGCTTTGGAGTTCATTGCCCCCAAACTTGTACCATGTAAAAGAATATATTTTCTGTAATTTTGTTAAAGACCAAAGTAGATATTTCTCCAGTCTAAAAAAAAGTGACATTTACCATTAAGAGGAATTCATGTTTTGTTAGGAATGGCTCACAAATTTAAGACTAAATTCTTTTCTACCCCACCCACACATTACTTGACATGTTTTGTTGCTGTTGTTGTTTTGTGTTTTTTACCTGTGATCTGGAGGTCCATAGAAAAGTTCTTCCCTGCCCCGCCATCAAAGTTCATGGTCCTATTGTGAATCACTTCCTGCCTGACGCGAGGTTCATAACAACCAGATATACCTGTAGATAAATTACAATGATAACAAAAATAACAATAGGCAACTGGTTGAAAAATACATGTAAAGGATAATAATAAAGTAAAGAATATATTCTATTCCTCCAGAGAATCAATCTTTTCATTATCATCAGGATTCCTCCAGTATCACTTCACCTCACTTATGTGACAAACTCATGTAATGTCAATTTTGTTGTACCGGTACTTTTTTTTGTCCATCTTTTTGAAGACTGTATGCTTTTTAACAGCCTGGAGTCATATGCAGGAGCTGTTGATGTCTTATCAATCTCATTCAGCTCTCTGCCACCAAGAGGATTTTAGAGAATACATGTACCATTTCAATGTCTGGGGGATCCACTGGGGGATCCACAAACCTCAAGCACTGCTTTTTAGTGGATCTCCCCATTTCCTCAGAAATTAAGAATTTCTTGTAATAATTGTATTATGTGCAAAGCTTATTTGTATAGTTTCCTGAAAAAATGAATTATGTATGAAAAAAATGTAATATCTTTGTTTACCTTTCTGTTAGAAATTAAATAAATTAAATAAATATGAAATTGAATCTTTTAAAATGCCTGAAGGGTTTTAACCGGATAATTTGTTAGAGGTCGGTTGGAAATCTTTACAGACTCTTTGTAGACAGTTCTGAAGGAGCAATCAGCACCTGGAATGCGTTTTAGTCCAGGATGAAGCTTAAAAATTTGAACCTGGTTCTTGTGTTTCATGCAATTCAACTTAAAGGGATCCGGTAACTTCGTCTTAGATCCTTTAAAAAAATTCTTGATTAAGCTAATGCTGCAGTGATAATTATAAACCTTTAGGTCAATCAGAAACCCCACAAATTTTACAAGCCGATCGCCTGTCTGATTATCATGATATTTATGATTAAAAATCAAAATCAAATTTTGTGTTTGCAAAACAGTTTTCATAACACTACAGTCTATTGGGGAAAACGAGTATGGTAAAACCGGTCACTCAAAGGTTTTTACTTTTTTGAGGCACTTCTTGACCATTTTGAATCATAAATTTGTTTAGGGCTTCAATATAACACCATATCACAGACACTGATAACATGTAGGGCCGTGCATCTCAGATTTAACATTGTTAAACGATCCCTTTAATCATGAATCTGTTAAATTTATTTTATTGTCATCATTACTGCAAGCAAACAAAAATAATTTTCTGAATAATTTATGCAGCCTTTAGGTACAAAAACACTCAAACGCTAGTATCGCTTTACCCGCAAGAAGTCGCTGCGCAACAAGGAAGAACATTTCATGGCCTCTCTTATAGAGCTCCGGCATGTAGATTCTCCAGTACCCCATCAGAGCTTCTCCATCGCCTTCTCTCTCCGCATCCCTCATGCATTCATTGAAGAGACATCGCCAGGTGACCGCCTCCAGGTACCTCAGCTCCCTGTCCTCATCAACATTCTTACCCTTCCGACATTGTGCAGAGCAATACCATTTTTTCTGACCTGAAGGATGATAAGAGACAATGTTTATGATTACTTTTTGACTAGTAAGCCTCTGTTTTCCACCAAATAACTGTTAACGTATGTTAACCATTTTAGTGTATCTGTTTTTCATTTTATTTTGATTATATTTATAGATATATACAGTCAAACCCGTCTGTAGCGACCGCCCAAGGGAAACATAAAAAGTGGTCGTTGTAGACAGGTTCCTTTAGTACATGTTTCAATGAGAAACCATTTTCAAGGGAAACAAAAAATGTGGTCTTTGTAGACAGGTGGTCTCTAAAGCAGGTTTGACTGTATATATATTTCCTTCTGTAAAGCAAGTAAACAAGACAAATCTTCACAATTGACCATAAAACATTGAATTGTTCTTCATAAGGTAAATTATTTACATATCAAATGGAAATTTCTTTGTCACGAATCTGTGAAAGTGTTTAGAAGCAATTTCATGAGATGCATCCCAAACTATAGAAGTCTTTTATCCATTCGGTTCGTCCAAACATGATGAATTTCTTTGATATGACCATTGACTGATGGAAGTAAAGACAGAAACCTATTACGCCATGGTCACATCAAGTGTTTTTTTCTTTAATATGGTATCTACAAGCAATCACTTCTCCGGGGTTGAGAGTGGCAAATATATATATACTACTGTCTTGTGCAGGCGCGGATCCAGGATTTCTTAGGGGGGGGGGCCCAAATTAGAAATTATGCGAGCCAAATATTGATACGTAATGGTGACCAACAGTGACGTGATGCGGGGGGGGGGGGGGGGTCGGTGCAGGGAGGGGCGAATTTCCTCCTCCCTCCTCCGCGAAACGCGGAAGCTTTGACGTTTCATTATTAGAAAAAGTAGACGGTTCGTTGTACCGTTCTCGAAAATAAATCTCGTCTGAATTTAGTTTTTCCCCTCTCGCGCGAAGCGCGGAAAATTTTAGGATTTATTAAATTATTAGAGAAAGAAGACGATTCGTTGTAGAGTTCTCGACTCTAAATTCTCGTCTGAATTCAGGTTCCCCCCTCCCCCTCCCTACCGCGCGAAGCGCGGAAGCTTTTAAGTTTCCTTAAATCATTAGAGAAAAAAGACGATTCGTTGTACAGTTTTCGAAAATAATCCTCGTCTGAATTTAGATTCTCCCCCCCCCCCCTCTCGCGCGAAGCGCGGAAGCTTTTACGTTTCATTAAATCATTAGAAAAACAATACAATTCGTTGTACAGTTCTCGAAAAGAATTCTCGTCTGAATTTAGTTTTTCCCCTCTCGCGCGAAGCGCGGAAAATTTTAGGATTTATTAAATTATTAGAGAAAGAAGACAATTCGTTGTAGAGTTCTCGACTCTAAATTCTCGTCTGAATTCAGGTTCCCCCCTCCTCCTCCCTACCACGCGAAGCGCGGAAGCTTTTAAGTTTCCTTAAATCATTAGAGAAAAAAGGCGATTCGTTGTACCGTTTTCGAAAATAATCCTCGTCTGAATTTAGATTCTCCCCCCCCCCTCTCGCGCGAAGCGCGGAAGCTTTTACGTTTCATTAAATCATTAGAGAAAGAAGACAATTCGCTGTACAGTTCTCGACTCTTAATCCTCGTCTGAATTCAGGTCCCCCCCCCTCTCGCGCGAACCGCGGAAGCTTTTAAGTTTTATAAGATTATGAGAGAAAGAAGACGATTGGCTGAACAGTTCTCGACTCTTAATCCTCGTCTGAATTCAGGATCCCCCCCCCTCCCGCGCGAAGCGCGGAAGCTTTTAAGTTTCCGTAAATCATTCGAAAAAAAAGACGATTCGTTGTACCGTTTTCGAAAATAATCCTCGTCTGAATTTAGATTATCCCCCCTCCCGCGCAAAGCGCGGAAGCTTTTACGTTTCATTAAATCATTAGAGAAACAAGACGATTCTTTGTGTAGTTCTCGACTCTTAATCCTCGTCTGAATTTAGTTTACCCCCTCCTGCGCGAAGCGCGGAAGCTTTGACGTTTCATTAAACTATTGAAGAAAGAATGCGATTCGTTGTACCGTTCTCGACTCTTAATCCTCGTCTGAATTCAGGTCCCCCCCCCCACTTCCCGCGCGAAGCGCTGAAGCTTTAAAGTTTCATAAGATTATGAGAGAAAAAAAAAACGATTTGCTGTTAAGTTCTCGACTCTTAATCCTCGTCTGAATTCAGGTTCATTTTCATTAAATCATTAGAGAAAGAAGACGATTCGTTGTACCGCTCTCGAAAATAATCCTCGTCGAAATTAAGTTCCCCCCCTCCATCCCGCGCGAAGCGCGGAAGCTTTTACGTTTTATTAAATCATAAAAGATTGGTATTACCGTTCTCGCCTCTGAATCCTTGTCTAAATTCAAGTTCCCCCTCCCGCGCAAAGCGTGGAAGCTTCACGTTTCATAAGATTATGAGAGAAAGAAGACGATTCGCTGTACCGTTCTCGATTGTTAATCCTTGTCTGGGGCGGCGGCGAAGCCGGCCCCTGAAGCTCAGAGGTTTTAGGCGTTTAATTAAGGTCATATGAGCATTTTTTTTTTGTATACCTTATTATTTCGTGACACTGGCAGGTAACTATTTGGCGTTGGGTCCAGGGGGCGGAGCCCCCCAAAATCAGGGGTTTTAGACATTAAATTACCGTCAGATGAGCATCTAAGGGCCCGCCGTAGGGCCCTTGGTCGGATCCAGGGGGCAGAGCCCACGGAAGCTTAGGGGTTTTAGGCATTTAATCACAGTCAGATGAGCATATTTTGATGCCTCATTATTTGTTAACACTGGCAGTTAACTATTCTTTCTTTCTTGCTCTCATTCTATTTTTTTTTCTCTTTAATATACTTTTTCAAAAAAAGTGTGGGGGGGGGGGAGAGCTCGAGGCTCCCGATCCCCGCCGTACCTCGGGCCCTGACATGTAGGAATCTCGAGAATCATATTTCTTGCCTGGCTGCAAATTTAGGAATTTGTCATTTTCCAACAAACACATACAAACGTATAATTTACTAAAAAGTGAGAAAAAATCTCGGAAATGATGTCATTTCAGCATTATTTGTAATCTACCGTTGTGAAATTAGAAATAAACACGTTTGAATTTGATTTCCACTAAGCCTTGCTCTCGGTTCCCAGGAGTCGTACACGCTTTGGGGATCGATCTTTTTCTGTTTCCGCACCACGTCTCTGGAACAATCTCCCTCAGGCTGTACGATCTTCTCCTTCTCTCGCTATCTTTCAACGTTCCTTGAAAACCTTTCTCTTTAATAGTTGAATTTATATATTTTTGTGTACGTAATTTTATTGTTTGCTATCAATGTCAATTAAGTAATGTAATGTTGTAAAGCGCTGTGATAACACTATGTCTGTAAGAGCGCTATATAAATGCCAATATTATTATTATTAAGCCCCCCCCCCCCCTATCAGTACGCCAGTATCTCCTCTTTTCCTTTCCCTTTCCTTCCTTCTCTCTTATTTGTTTTATGGGGGGGGGGGGGGGGTCAACAGCCTGGGAGGCAAAGCCCTTTCGGCCCCCCGATCTCCTTCTTCCCCCTTTTCTTTTCTTCTTCCTCTTCTTTCTTTCCCTTTCTCTCCTCTTTCTCTTTCGCTTCTTTTCCTTTTTTCTCTCTTTTTTTTTTTTTTTTTTTTTTTTTTGCGGGGGGGGGGGGGGGCCAAGGCCCGCTCGGCCCCCCCCCTGGATCCGCGCCTGGTCTTGTGATATAGATACTAGTGACATGACTGAACCCCATACCCTGTGATCCACAATCTGGGGACCTATCCACTAGACCACGGTTCAAGTAAATGAACTGCCGCTCATGATAATAATAATAAATAATAATAAAAACGTTAGTTATATTTTATAAAGCGCTTACCACCGAAGTCTCTAAGCGCTATAACAAACAAAAATAGACTGATAAACAATTACATTTTAAACAAAACAAAAAAGTGCAAATAAACCAACAAATTACAATACATATACATCAAAGTGAACAGAGTTAATTAATCAGCGAAAGCAACTTTAAATAAATGTGTATTAATGTGATTAGTTTGAACCCTGCTCCCTTCCTTGACATCTCCCCTCACCTCGGTTAGGGATGTCCATTTGTTCGGGAGCTGGCAAAGTAGATCTCACGCAACCATGGTGGAACTTTCTCCCGCGTTTGCACCTCTTGTTGGCGCAGGTCCAGACCAGCTCCTCCTCTGTCTTCATCCTACACACGCAGTACTGTCCACCGCGCAACGATTGACATGTGGGGCTACAGTACCAGTCATCGCTCACCTGTGGATTGGAGACACACAGCTCATGGAACCAGTTCCCATTCGGGCAGTTGATGTTGCTGCACTCCAGCATGCGTTCGCCTTCCTTTTCTGCCAATGAAGGGAGATGATGGGAAAAGTTTATCTTTGATGATAAATGTCCTTTAGCCTGGACTTATTTGGAGCTGAGACAAAAGATTATACATGATATAAGGTTTTGTCCTATAATAAACTACAGTTTTTCACAGATATGTGCTAATCGAGCTTCCCTCATGGTTCTTTTTCATTAAAAGGACATACAAAAAATATCTTCAAATAATTATACTCTGTATCTGACGTTATTTCTAATACATGTATTTGATGAAACAAAATGAAAATGACATAACCCTGATCATAGCAATAAAAGCCTCCTGCAAATTGCAGAACATTACTTTTCAACAATCTAGTTAAAGTTTACCTCAAATTGTGTAAATAAAGTACGGTTTATGTAAATACCAAAAAATACAGCACATAATTTAGATTTTTTTTTTTCAATTTCTGATAAAAGTGATAAACAGAGACTGACTGGATCTTTATTTTTGAGAGACAGTTCATACGGTACCTTCTTTGCAAAAGCAGAATTTGTAATCGGATCCCTCGTTACTTCCGACCTCGGCGTTGGCGATGTCAGCTACTTGGTTCATGGGCATCTGATGCCACACCCTCCTTACGACCTCGGCCGACACCCTGGCCAAGAGAGTCTCTGGCTCCCCGTCACTCATTTCATCTTCATTGCTAACCAGCATCTCAAGGGCGAAACCAACAACCATAGCACAGCACACAAACTGGAAGAAAAAGGAGCAGTGATATAATGGTATGCAAGCAATGTGATTATCTAAATTCAAAATATGTAGTTTTTAAAAATCTATTAATTAATTTAGCTTCTTATGTTTTATATACTCAAAAAGAAAACAAACATATTCAACATTTTTTTATAGGAAATATTATGGAGGGCAAATGTTGAAAAGTATCGCCTCTGGAAAAAAATGTTGATTATGTTTTTAGAAAAAAAGTATTACTAATTTTGTGATATAAGTATAGTTCATGTGTTTTTCTTTGTAATCAATATAATAATGTGTTTCTGCAAGATACATACTTGTTATGAGTTTGATGGTAATCCGCTGTTTTCGCATTCACAATGAGCCTTATGAGCTATGACCTTGTAACCCAAAAATTTACTCAGTTCATTGGCTTAGCAAGATACATACATGACCCAAGTTTGGCGGGAATCCCATCAATCAGAACGGGACGTACTGATGGACAAACCAAAAAACATAATGCCTCCCTCCAGCTTCTTCGTTGCAGAGGCATAAAAATCATTTACCATTAACCTTAGGCTACTTTCAGCCCTTTTTAAAGACCAGTTATGGAAACGCCCCCCTCTCAAAAATTGAAATGGAAGCTCTTATTACCAATCATGTGAAAGAATATGTTTTGAATAATACATGATAACAATTATGCAGGGAAACCGCCTACTAATTGATATATTTGGTAAATTAGTTTATCTCTTGGGACCAAATAGATAATACACATGTGTCGCGCATGTGTGCGTAGTCCCATATACATCTTTCTCTGTGTACAGTGCTTGTAACTTTACGAAGACTGGGCCAAATTTCTTATCATTTTGATGATTCCAGAACCTTGCAGTACACACCAATACTTATATGCTAGATGATCAATCTTTTCTGATCGATTCCACAACGTTTCTTTTACAATGCAATCGCATGACCAGAACTGTTCTTTATCTTTAAGGCTCTTTTCTTTCAATACTCTTGATTCATACCAGTAAGAAGTCATCAAGACTATGGGGAGGAGAGTACTTGTCCTTGATGCCATCATAACCAAACATATGTATCAGATTCCGTAGGGTGGCTCTCTCCGTCGGGCTCGTTGGAGCGTACAGGTCTGCCATGATGTCCTGCAATTCATGGAAAGTTTGAAACTTAAAATTTGCATACCTATGTACCTGCATGTGGTGGAACTGGGGAATGGGTTGGGTTTGGGTCTTTAAATTAACCTCTCTTATTGTTATATTAAACCTCTACCACCCACACCCCCCCCCCCCTTCCCCATGTCAGCTATATACAATAGAATGTCAAATCTCATTTTTCATTATTGTAGGTTGCCTTACTCTAGTAACAAAGAAACTCGACTTAAAGACACATAAAAGTTGAGTCTCATGGGGAATGTGCCAATCACCTGGATTAGCCTTCAGTTTCACGACCAACAAACTTTATGTTCTGTCTTTATCCCCACATGGTAAAGTGCTTATCTGCTATTTGCTCCACCCGAAGACTCTCCGAGAGAAGAAGGGGTATTTGTAGTGTGGACTATGAGTTTGCCGTGTGCAGACTTGTACACTCATTAATGGTATTTCCATCAAGTCTGGTGTCAGCAAATTATGACCTTCTGCACATGGAAACTGCAGACCCACCAATTTTAACATGTTGTATTGGTTTGAATTCATTATCTCAATTATCATGATCACCATCAACATCACAATCATCATCCCCCTCATCTTCTTCATCATCATCCCCCTCAGCATCTTCATAATCACCATCCTCATCATCTGTATCACCATTATCATCATTCATCATCATCTCCATCATCATAACAATCCGTCATTATCAATACGATCATCATCATCATCATCATCATCATCATTATCATAATCCATCATCATCATCATCAATAATTCATTTAATCCTGGTTGTCTTACCCTCATGAAGAGGGATCTCAAGTTGCTATCTTGCGGTACCGGTATGAATGCCTGCCTGGCGGTGCCTTTCGTTGAGGAAACCTGGGCTGTACTGGCGTGCTTTACCATCTCTTCATGTCCGTACAGTACGATAGGATAGCCCTTAGGGGCATGATCCTCCAGTTGCTGAAGCAGGTCTGAGGTTTGGTCGGATGTAATATGGTTACCCTCAATGATGCCAAGATCAACCTGCGAAGAAAAAAAATAAATTTAGATGATATTGATGATTGTTCGTTCGTTCGTGTCTCCTTAGATCAAGATTAATGTACAGTTCCTTAATTAAATTAAATTAATGATGATGATGACAATGATGATGGCACTATGGCAGTGTTACCATTGCATCTGCTTATGTTCATTACTTGGGAAGTTTTATGCATTGCACCACAGACATTATTACAATGAATGCTGAAAAAAGAAATACCATGAAGGTTTTTCTGTTTATTTTGTTTTGGCTTGTATTGTAACTTCTTAGATGGATGAGGGCCATATCAATGAATAAATGTATGGACCAACAAAATGGATCTTCCACTGCAAGCAGTCCAAAATGATCGATGCCTCCAGCCCCCATAGAGCGATTTAACAAACCAAAACAGAAGCAATTTTTAAATTTTAAGTTCGACTGTAATCCATTAAGAGGTTCGAAGATGCTATTTTTCATACATGTATGACCCTTAAATCTATTCAGGTCATTGGCTCTGCAAGATACAAACATGTCGCGATTTTGATGGTAATCTGTTCTAATGATAATGCAATCACAAGCTATTTGCGCATACATAATGAGCCCAATGACCTTTGATGTCAAGACCCTAAAATCTATTCAGTTCACTGGCTCTGCAGGATACATACATGACATAGGTATGGCGGGAATCCATCAATAGGTTCTTGAGATAACGTGATCACGAGAACGGGACGTACGGACGGACGGACACCCCAAAAACATAATGCCTCCTGCCTTTAGATTTTAGATTACCCCATGATCGTAACATGATGGCAGCCCTGCTACAGCGTAAATCAGAATGAATAACAAGGGAAATGACACTTCCCATGTGAACTTATGGTTACTTGACCTTATTCTTGTCAATGTGCAGTACAGCAAATGACCAAACTCCTTGGACTTGCTAATATGTGAAGCACTTACGTATTCACTTTGTTCGGCGCATTGCGAGGAGTACTCGTGAGGTATGTGTCCAGTCACAGGCTGATTAGCAAACAAGGAGAGATTAGCTTGAAGAATCCTTTCCACCATCACCTGCATCAGTGAAAATACAAACAGGTGCTGTTACATAGAGAAAGCTTCAACAGAGCTCAAGGGGGAAAAAGTGCCTGAGAAAATCCTTTCCAACATCGAGGCGCGATAGCAGTGGTCTCATAATTCGGTGACCCGTGTTCGAAACCAAGACGATGCGCTAGTGCGCTTTGGTAAGGCATTAATCCTCATTACCAGGTACCTCGGAGAGGACCCAAAGTCGTCGGCCGTCTGGTTGCTTACTTACAAGCATTTATGCTTTCTTAGCAGTCAGGTAATATATCCACCATCACAAAAAAAAAATAAGAATATAGAAGAGCTATGGTAGACATCAATAAGATGAAAACTGGTAGAGGTGTTATAGTCGACAGGTTTACACACTCGACCGAGAACGCAAAGGCACAGCACAGGTGTCCTTGAGGCAAGCGTTTTATTCACATTGCTTCCCTTCACCCAGGTTTTAACTGGTATACCCCAAAGGAAGTGAGCATCACTATATGCACGTACATGCCTGTAAACAGGTGACGGGCATGACTGCTCCCTTAGGCCTAATTTTTTTTTTGTATTGCCCTTTGGGTGCCAACACATGGGTCGGTCGGTCAGAAGTTTTTAATTTTTTTTAAACTTTTGTTTTCATCGCCCTCTTTGGGCCAATATTTTTCATTTTTTTATTTATTTTTTTAAATATTTTTTGATTTCTTTTTTCCCCGCCCTCTTTTGGCTGATATTTCTCAGTTTTCTAGCTGGTGCAGTGCATGGTATAAACTATAAACATGTACACGAGGCCGGGGTCTACTTGGATGTTTTGAAACTAGGGCAGAAGACGAGTGAGAATTTGATTTTATGCATTTATATCCAAATTAAACAAACAAAATACATATTTTTGTATTCATTAATAAAAAAAAATTCTAAAAAATTGTTTTAAAAAAATAATTAAATGTTGACCGTAGATTTTCAGATTTTTGGGTCAGTCGCAAAGGGCAATACAACAATTTTTTATTTTAGGCCTTATGGAAAGAAGAGTTTACTGTGAAGTACAGAATTGTATCAAATCAAATTGAATTCAGAAACCGGGATAATATTACTGAAGGTGCCCTGATCAATAGCATGTCACTGGTAAGGTTTGACATAAAAAAGCCAGGAAATAATATGTACTTTTTTATGTGTACATATAGCATGTAGCTGCATACTCAATGATACAAATTTTTTTAATACAACTGATGTGATGAAATTTCACTAGTTCTAGATACCAAATCCAAAGCGGCTTCCATGAACAGCAACAAAAAAAGTGTTTCTGACACTTACCTGCATCCTCATCCGTAGCTCCTCATAATCACCTTGATTGGGCAGGTAGACGGTGAGAGGGAGCTCACAGGCTTTCTTAGGAGCCTCTTCTTGGAGGTCGCGAAAGGATATCCTGTTCTTGACGGCTAGTCCATTGCTGACCAGTCTTGACTGCCTGCCCGGTTTCGGCTGGGTGCTTCTGGCATTGCTTTCGTACTTGTCATAGCGCTTCCTGACCATGAGCGAAAAGCCAGGGTCTTCAAAAGGAGATAAAATGAGAGAGGCCATGTGCCGTCAACATAATTATTACTGTTAGAGAGAAGGGTAATTTCTGGAGAAGAAAAAAAATTGTTGAGTTTCGAAATGCCACTGGAAGCATCATTTTGTTTTATTGTAATGTAGTACTTGTATCACTCCGCCCTTCTTTCAGTCATTCACCTTTCATTCACCTTTCTCCCACCTGCTCCATGATAAAACAGAACCCCATTATCCCATTACTTTTATTATAAACAATTGACCATTAATGACCACCCAAGATTTAGATTCAAGGATCGAACCACATTCCAATAACTATGACTCGTATGCCCAAACCCCAGTCACTTTCACTCTCCATAGCCACTCCCCATAATACCATGACAACCCTGACCATTGACCAATCATAATCATGTTTAAATCACCCATCCCAACATTGTTTCTCTCCCCAAACTTTCCTGCTTGTAAAGTTGAATAATGATAGAAAAACTTTGGTTTCAGCCATCAACCACTGAACTAGGATATTTTCTATCTCGTAATCTAGAGTCGTCTACTAGAGAGTCATTGTGTTAGTATCGAGATTAAATAAATGCTTCTGAAACTGTAAACAAGAACGATTACAAGTCTCCTTATTTATGCCCCTCGCCTCATCACCGATCCCTACACAACATCATCACTATGTACAGTTGCGTATTGTCAACAAACGTCTTGTGCATGACGTCATCATGAACATGGATGACTTAACTGAGCAGACCCGTGGACAACAAAAAGAGCAGAGGTCCTAGAACGGATCCTTGAGGAACACCCCAGGGGTGTGGAAACGCTTAAAAACGAACACTAAGCAGATGAATTTATGACTTTGTTTGTGCTTTGAAAAAAAGGTACAACTGTTCATCCATTTGGTAAAGTCAATACTTACGCAGATTGTCCCTTGTATCACCTTTAGACCAGTTCTTTTCTTTCTGTAAGGAGATATAAGACAAAAGGTGAAATATGGTAATATTATGCCTTATATGCCACCTCAATAGAGTTTACATTTTTAGGAGGAAAAAAAACTTTTAAAAGTTCTGTTTATCATTCTGTTTTTATGCACAAAATGGCCCACTTTGTTATCAATATGGTTGCCTGACTCATTCATCAAATGACCAACCATTTTCAAGAAGGCCTCCAGAATATTTAAAAAATAACTGCTCTGCAAAATACATAGATGCCTTGAGTTTGATAGTAATCTGTTCATCGGTTCTAATGATAATGCGATCACAAGCTATTTTCTAATACATAATGATCCCCATGACCTTTGACCTCATGACCCCAATATCTAATCAGTTCATTGGTTCTGCATACATACATGACCTAAGTGTAACAGAAATCTATCAATCAGTTCTGGAGAACGCGATCACGAGAACGGGATGTAAAGACAGACAAGACAACCTGAAAGAATGCCTCCGGCTTCTTTGTTGCGAAGGCGTAAAAATCAGGCATTGCCCCTGCCCCCCCCCCCCCCACCCCCAAACAAAAAGGAAGCCGGCTGAGAAATTTTACATGGACATTTTACCGGTTCGTCTAGAAGTTGTAACTTCTTCTAAAGTCCAGTCATATTCGGGTCACAAGGTCTGCATGCAGTTATTGCTACAGTATAAGAAGTTACCTCAATTTTTTCACACCATTCCGTCACAAGATTCTTCTTCTTTTGGATCAATTGGAGAGTCTCCCTCTTTAGTTTGCTTAATCCCAGACGATGCAGAAACTTCAGAATCTGTGTAACAGAAAAATACAGACTTATATAAACCTTAAAATGTACCAATCACCAAAACCCAAACATGTTTTGCTCTTGATGTAAGGGGTAGTAGTACCATGTCGCTATACTGTATTTGAAATAAGCTACAAAGAGATATTGCAATTTAAATACAAGGTTAGTGAACAGTAAAGATATATTGACTGTTATGAGAGGCATACCTGGCTAGTTGTTTCTATCCCATAGGAAAGAAATGAGCCTGCCGCATACTCCTGCGGCAGACTTGCCGCAGATCTGCAGCAGACCTGCCGCAGACAGTCATCTTTTTCACATGCAAATTAGTTTTGCCGCAGACTTGCCGCATACTCTTTCAGTATGATGAAGAGTCTGCGGCAGGTCTGCCGCAGACTTGCTGCATACTCTTTCAGTATGATGAAGAGTCTGCGGCAGGTCTGCCGCAGACTCTTCGTCATGAATATTCATATCTCATATAGACCTGCTGCAGACCTGCTGCAGACTCTTTCATATCCAGTACGTGGCAATAAAGTATGCATGTAGAAGAACCAGTGATAAACTGATTGATACTTCATAATCGATATTGGCAATATCGATATTACCAATTAGGTAATACCAATATATATATATATATTACCAATTAGGTATATTCTATTCTCAATTGTATTAACTTCATCACATTGATCATTTGAAGTGTATTCAAGAGTAACATTTAAAGTGACACAGGCTCGTACACATATATATATACTAAACATGTATATTGTTTCTTGGTTAGTAATCATAGTTTCTTGGTTAGTAATCAATATATCTATTGCTTAAACGTGAATGTAATTGTAACATGATCAGACAAAATAATCTATTGGTTAATAATGGCAAAAGGAAAATAGAAGTCACAAAAATGATGTGCATTGTCTTAATTTGCTTAACAAATCATGATAAATGTATTTTTCTGTCACACGTGTAAAGTAATAATGAATATGCATGAGATGATTGGTTTCAATTGGCCCTATTAGACTTTAATGGGATTTCCTGTGGCAGACCTGCCACAGACTGTTCCTGTGGCGTACTGGTATGCGGCAAGTCTGGAGCAAAGTTTCGCCCTGCCGCAGATCTGCCGCAGACTGTTCCTGTGGCATACTAGTATGCGGCAAGTCTGGAGCAAAGTTTCATCCTGCCGCAGATCTGCCGCAGACTGTTCCTGTGGCATACTAGTATGCGGCAAGTCTGGAGCAAAGTTTCATCCTGCCGCAGATCTGCCGCAGACTGTTCCTGTGGCATACTAGTATGCGGCAAGTCTGCAGCAAAATTTCATCCTGCCGCAGATCTGCCGCAGATCTGCCGCAGACTGTTCCTGTGGCATACTAGTATGCGGCAAGTCTGCAGCAAAATTTCATCCTGCCGCAGACTGTTCCTGTGGCATACTGGTATGCAGCAAGTCTGCAGCAAAATTTCTTTCTGCCGCATACTTCGGCATACTCTTTGCCGCAGACTAAAAGTCTGCGGCAGGTCTGCGGCAGGTCTGCGGCATACTTTTCACTTTCCTATGGGATAGGCTCAAGGGGACATTACATCCTGATATGACCCTGAGGCATGCCATGCTGAGGGGTCATAGCAGGATGTATTTTTTCAGGTGACTGGTACACTTAATTTAACCCTGAAAGTAACAAAGACAATATTATCTACACGTAAAAAAACATATTTTAATCATTTTTTATTAAAAAGCATAGTGACTTACTTAAAGTGACTCGGTAACATTGCCTCAGATTCTAAAACAAAATCCTGGATTTAGCTCATGCTGCAATCATAATTGCAAACCTTTGGGTTTGCAATTATATTGTTATTTGATATCATTCTTCTATTGTATTGTTGTTTTGTATATTTTGTTGTTTTAAATGGTCAATAAATGAAGGGACTTCCTTCCTATTCAGTCAGGAATTCCATGACTTTTACAAGCTGATCGCCTGTCTGATAATCAAGATTTTTATTATTAAAATCTGAAGTTTATTTTTCGTTTTCTTAACGGTTTTTATAACACTACAGGCACTGCATGATCATTTTGAAGCACAATTATATTTTTGACATACTATTATGTCAAAAAATATAATTTTTTTAAATGATAGAACACATTTTTGGCAGTTTAGATCACCTATTAGTGTGAATGACAAAGCTGGCACCTACTGTGTAGTGCATTGAACACCTCAGTTTCATCCAGTTTAATTATTATTGACAAAAATGTCAGAATAAATGGCATAGATCCACATTGTTTTATAAACACTACCGACATGTACTGTATATGAAGACCATCTGTCTATGAAGACTAAACTTCTTTTTTCAAAGACCTGGGGCCCGTTACTAGAAACCGTCATAAGTCTAACTTCTTGACTATCCCATTGAAACGCGTGTTAATTCTACAACACATGTTTCAATGGGATAGTCAAGAAGTTAGACTTATGACGGTTTCTAGGAACGGCCCCAGTTCTTCTCATTAAAAAACCAGTACATAAAGACTACCAGCCCATAAAGACTGCTTTTGTCCTTGTTTCCCCTCTTAAACGGTCTTTAAACACAGGTTTTGTTGTACTTACCCCTTCATTCGCACCAAGATGCCACAGGTCGACAGCTATTGCACCCTGATATCTCATATGCCCTTTGTTGCCCAGAGGGAGGTTGATCATCATTCCTATCCGAGAGTTAAAATGTTCCTTGCCCTTTCTATACAAAGTTAAAGCAAAGAGATAACCACCTTTAGCAACAAGCAATTATTGTTAACATGTTGTGGTAAACTTTAAAAAAATGGAATAAACCATTGATAAGGCTTAGACATCATACGCTTGATTCTGCCTTTAATACTAATCACTCAGGAATTTGATTGTTTAGTCAATTTTTTCAAATCATATATCAAACACACCTTTGTCACCGATACAACTACATGTAATACTGAAAGTTGAAGATTAATTTCATTAACTTGATTAGCCCTTATTCTGCACAGCAAGTACAATTAGGCCACATATAAAAAAAAAAACATCTTTAGCGTCCTGTTTTTTCGAAAAATAGGAAGGAGGAGGCCCTTTTTTTTCTTTCAAAATGGCCGCTTGGTACATTTTCCTCGACAGCCAGGGCTATTTTTCAAGATTGCCGTCAACATTTTTTTTATTTTTTTTTTAAAATCAGAAATAGATCTATTTTAGCAGTGTTTTTCCTTCTTTTTTTTTCTTAACAAAAAAAAAAAAATTAACAAAAAAAAAAATGTAAAACTTAAAAAAAAAAAAAAAGGCGGCCCCAAAAAAGGAAGCGGGCGGGGATGCTAAACATGTATATTTTTTTTAATGGTCTTACAAGAATCAATTAAATTTACATCACAATTCAACCCTGGAGTAGAAAATTAGATATACCTTAACATCCTGTCTGCCTGCCTCTCATTTTTTGTCATGGAAGCGACAACCACAGCAAAGAAGACTGGGGCTATTTTTTTTATGTGACGGAAGATGGGCTTCCATTGCTTTTCATCAAGCTGCTTCCCAACAGCGCAAGATGGATAGAGGCGTTCCTTCCGCATCATTTTGACTTCTCTTCGGATAGTCTTTGCAATTTCTTTGGTCCACACTTCCCTCACCGCTTTCTTGCCCAACAGAAGCTTGAAGGCGTTTGTGTATTTTGAAGCCTTGATGAACTTCAGGAGGCCACTTTTTAACTCGAGATGTGTCTCCGCGGGCTGACTGACTGTGGGCAGATAATGAGATGTTCTTTCTGTCCATTGTACATTCAGACTCTCTATAGTTCTCCTTGCTCTGTCCCATTCTGTAGAGATGGAAAAGACGTAGAAAGTTATGGACATGGCTAAGTCTAGTAAAGCTAGAGAACTGCTCAATGGAATGGTAGGAAGAAAATGATAGAATTAAAAAAAAAAAGAATAACAAAAAAGAAGGTGGTAAAAGATGGAGACAAAGAATAACGTAAGGACGACAGAAGGAAAAAAAAAGAATAACATAAGGAAAGACAGAAAGAGAAAGTGATAAAGAGAAAATGATAAAGAATAGACTCTAGATAGAACTTAGAAGAGAATGGAAAAGATGGAAAACAAAGAATAACATGACGAAAGATAAAATTTAAAAGAACAAAATAATATTAGAATAATAAACAAAGAATAACTTAGGTCTACTTAACTTCATAAAGTGAAAGAAGGAAAAGCAAAGACTAACATAAGGATTGAATAGAAAGACAGCAAGACCAAGAGAAAGTGGTAAATAATAGAAAATACAAAGATAGAAATGAAGATGAATGATGGAGAAAAAAAGAATAACAATCATAACATAAGAAAAACAGAAAAAGAAATTGGCTTTACAAATAGAAGGGTAATAGAATATTGTATTGAAATAAACTTACGGTTCTGTATCAACGTACACTTCGAGCAGCATCTCTTCATGTACCAAGTTCGTTCATTGCCCGTTTTGGTTCCTGACCTCTTTAGAACTTCGCCCAGTCTGATATTTGTCCCCATTAAATTAGAACAAAACAGTTTCATACCTTTTTTTTCATCAATATTCCTGGGAACAAAACCACACGTAAAACAGAAGTTCGGTCTGTCTCTGATTGTTTCCGAGCTAGTTTTTGATCTTTTCGATGTCATGATTGCTGAGTAGGTCTATCTTAAATTTCTGAATACGAATAACCTCGTGAAATGGTGAATATTGATAACAAAATTTCACTTTGTCCTCTCGGTCTTCGCTTCGAATTCGAGCTACATGTTGTTGTTGTGTTTTGAGTTATTGGCGATTAGTCAGTGATTTGACTATTGTCGCCATGTAAATTTCATGGTATCCTTGAGGACATCCAACGAAATTGAAATAAATTTCAAGCAGACGCGACCGACCCGTCGCCCGCCCCCGCGCCCGGCGTTTTATTTTTTCGTACCACAGCGAGAGAGCCCAGATTCCAGTATGAACTCATGATCCATTAAAGGTATAGGCCTATAGTTTTGGTATGGGGTCATAAATTTGGTTCAAATTAACATATTGGAAGCATATGCGTTCCTGCAATATTCATTGATCATTGTCGCGGTTGAAATCGAGTCTAAAGCATAGAGATATATACTTAATAACATCTCTATGGTCTAAAGTTATGAATTTATATGTATAGCTTAATTGTATAGCTCCCTCTCAAGGTCGAGCTATGAACAATGTTTCTTGACTAAAATCGACCAATTAGCTATTCCCGTTTGGAAATTATATATCACAACTACATATTCTGAGATTTTCATGGTCGCAGCTACCATTGTATACGGCCATAGACGCTATTTGAAATTGATCAAAATTTACCGGGAGCACCGGTAAATTTTTATATTCAATTTTTCTCGAAAACAGAAGTGTTTTAGGGGCTAATTTGTTTAGTGCTTATACTACATCCACAGGGGCATCCAAATATATCAAAATTGTAAAGATTCACTATCCACCCAATTTTCAAAATTTCCCAAAACTTTGTATTACCTCTTAAGCCAGTGGAAGCAAGCAACTATCTGGGCTCGCTTTTGTACGAAAAAATAAAACGCCCCCGGAAAACGCCGCCCGGCCAGATTGAAAATGCCTTATCTTTAAAAATGACTAGTTTTGTAGCACGGGGCTAGGGCGCAATTAAAACACCGAAAAGTCGTAAAAGCTTTTGAATGCTTGACGGCAGCTATCGAGGCCCTGTTCGAAGAGATCGAGGAGCAAAATACATCAAATATTTACCTTTAATCTCCCTGGCTTGGCTTCAAGTTCAAAGCTCGTGAAAATTTCACAACACATACAAAATGATAATAATATTGTTTTTCAAATAGATTTTCATTCCAAAACTGTAACTGTATTTTTTTAATATATAGGAAGTTCTGTTTCCGAGGTCGGTGAATCTGAGCTCGCTTACGTAAGAAAAAATAAGACGCATCTGGGTCACATGGACTGGAATAAAAGAGGAGAAAGGCCCAGCGAAAGAAAAAGGGGGATCATTTAAGTTCAAGTTCAAGTTCACTTTATTCACAATACTTTCATCAAAAATATTCAAAGAAAAAATAAATAAAGTTGAAATATAATACATGTCTCAATACGAACATGAGAACAGGAACTTTTAGATTTGCACAACGACAACGTGGATTGCTATGTCAGATCGACGTCCTGTTAATGCACTGGCACTGCCTTGAATGGACGTCACACGTATCAGTCCACGCACATCTAAAATTCCCTAATAACGCAAGCGGATGAGAAGACATGAATAATAGAACAAGAGGAATTAATTAAGAAACAAAAATTGTGACATACATTAATATAAATATTTGGAGACTATACAGCAAGGCCGGGCCTCATGTAAAAGTCTGTATCCAGTGATTGTATTAAAAAACTAAGAACATTATTAAAATTATTTATTGTTTAATAAAAGGGGGGAATAAAATAATCTACTTACACACATACATGTACACCCTCTCCCATACACTCCAACACGCACTTATTGATCTGTCTAATGAAAATTTAAGTTATATTATTATTGCACTATTGAGTATTGTTGTACTGACAAAATACAATTTAAATTTTCTTTTAATGATTTCGTGAGACTTCCTTTCCAATTAGATTTCCTTTAGGGTAATATTTTGCCCGATAGAAAGCTTTAATTTCTAGCGGCATGGGTCTTTATTTTATAATTTTAAAAAATTCATACGAGCTTTTGCTTTCTAAGTGATTGTGACGTGTGATGGGTGATTAAAAGTAATAAATAATTCTCACTTCTGTTTTGGGGTAAAGGTTTGAAAAAATGGAGCAATAATGTTGATTATTTTCATAATAGGGAGATATGTACTCCTATCCATTTTGTAGTGCATTGTTGCATATAAAAAAGAGTGTTGAAACTTAATTCAGAAATCCAATTAATAAACCATGTCACCTATATCAGCATGATTAATAATCATGTGTCAACTCTTTTTTATGGTCATCGCTGTTTTTGCAAAGCTTCTGCTGAACAAACTAATATACATGTAAAAAAAATTATTAAAAAACTGTCTGACTGTCAACCAATTCAAAACTTGTCTTCAGACACATTTATTCAAAATTGCTTTTGATGATTAACTTACTCTGTTCACACGTGTATTTCATATGTATTGTAATGTGTAGGGTTATTTGTAATGTTTTGGTTTGTTTAATATGTAATAGTTTAGCATTGTGTTTGTTATAGCGCTTAGAGAATTCAGTGGTAAGCGCTTAAAGCACCGTTTTTATCATTATTGTTTATGTCTTTTATCATCATCGTCGACGCCCTTTGTTATAGGCCCTAAAGTTGATAATAACAATATTATTTTGTTATCGTCATTACTACTATTATTTTTATTATTATTACTATTGTTATAGAGCCATCTTCATCATCATCATCATCATCATCATCATCATCATCATCATCATCATTATCATCACCGTAATCATCAGCAGCAGCTCATTGTCAGTATTTCGCTATCATTACTTATATGTTATAATCATGGTACTGGTTTCAACACATGATAACCAATAATTATGATCATAAACAACACAGTGCTTAAATTTATTTCGGAGAGGACCTAAAGCCGTCGGCCGTTTGGTTGCTTACTTACAAGCATTTATGCTTTCTTAGCAGTCAGGTAAATAACCACCACCACCACAATCTTATATTTTAATTGAATCACCCTAAAGAATTTCTCGATAATCGTTTAATGTACCTCTTAAGCCTACATCAGATCAGGTTAACCCGACGTTACGAATTCACATATAGGCCTACTCTCTGAAAGGCGTTTTCGAGAAATCTATCTCGTGATAACATTATTATCTCATGTACTTTTTCCTTTTCTTTCATCTCTCTCCTCGCTCTAAGTATGGCCATGCGAATCTTAAATTGGCAATATTAATATTTTGTTAGTGTATGGATTAAAACGTACAGTATATAGCCCCCGGCCCCCTCCCCCCACCCAGTGTTATTTAGGGTACGCATATGCTCGTTCCCTCTTTTTGAAAGCACCCCCTATCTGAGGACTGCCAATATTTCCGAACCCCCCTTTCGCGGGCTTTTCGCGGGCTTTTCCTGCCTTGGAGACCCCCCTAAATCAGGAAAAATGCTCAATGTACCCCCCTAAATTCTGAATAACTTCTCAGGAGTCCAAAGAGATGAGAGAAAAAAGGAAAAACACCCCCTTTTTAAAGAAATCTCCGGGTGAAAAGTCAAATACAACCCTTTTTTTACAATTCTCGGGCCGGACTTTGTCGCACGAAAAGCACCCCTTTACCGGATATTTTGGCAACACGCATGCGGTCATTCCGACCCCTGAGTGGGGGGGGGGGGGCGGGATATAGCCACAGACAAACTCTTTAGTTTGTCCTGTACAAAGATAGGCCATCATTAATTTCTGCCCCCCCCCCCCCCCCCCAAGTATCCTCTCGCGTGGGGCTCTAACTGTTAATTGGAACAATATACGTTGTCCGCGGCACTGTACATCACATGCAGTGACCTTATCGATTCGGCCAATTTGAAGTACCATACGTATATATTGATTACAACTTTCAAAATGTTATAACTTTCTTAATTTCTGTCCGATTTCGTTCTAACTAGCTGTCACCAGTAAACTTTTCTGATTTTCTTTTTCTTTTTGACTCCCTTTACGTGAAAGAGAAGGCGTCCGTAGGCCCTATTTAATGAAACGTTTAGCCAATGAGGATGTTTTTACCTTCATCATAAGAGGGGGGGGGGGGTAGCGGTCAATACACTGTAAACTGCAATTGTGAATGGATTATCAAGGCCACCCGATTATTTCCGTGGAATGGATTATTGTAGATTGTTCAAGTTCCCTTTAATTTTCTCCCTATCGCTACCTTTCTCTCTTTCATATATATTTTCATGTTCGTTGTTGTGTTCGATTATTTTGATGGGAGGGGTTCGTGTCCCAAATGGTATTTAGGCCTACGTTAATAACAAAAAATATGTAAATATATAGTATTGATACTTACATGTATAGTTTACAGAGAAGTATTTCAAGTTTCCTAAGGGTGGGAGATGCTGATTAACACCTTACTCATATATCTGCTGCCGCTTAATTATAATAGAGAAGACCGATATTATTTTTTTTGCGTGGGTATATATACTGTCGCTCATATAGTTGGAATATTCTTCCCAATTAATGAAATTATTTTGATAATGATTTATTCATAATATAATAGATATTTTTCTGTTGGGGACCGGGAGGAAATTCAATGAATTCAATGAAGAGCACATTTAAAAAAAAAATTAAAAAACTTTGTCCTGAAAATTTGGCTGATCGATATTTCGTTCCGTTGGGGGAGGGGGGGGGGGGGGGGGATAAGGTCACATTTGTTGTTCTTCCATTACTATAATAAAGGCGTACGCGCCTGGTCATATGTCTTTATAAGTGCTAACTATTATGTAAACACAGAATATTATTGTTATTATTATTATTATTATATTACTATTTTCATTATTATTATTACTATTATCATTATTATTATTATTATTATTATCATTATTATTATCATTATCATTAACATTTCTATTATTATTATTATTATTATTATTATTATTATTATTATTATTATTATTATTATTACTGGGCATATTGATATCATTATTATTAATATCATCATCAATATTATTATCAATATAATACTAACTTAGTAGTATAGCTAGGCCTAGTTAAGGGGACAACGAATCATATTCAAGCAGTGGACATTTTTTTTAGGGATGATAAGCCAGATTCCCTCAGGAAATTAGTCACGTTTTGCAAATGTGTGTGGGTAGTGTGCCCTGCCCCTCCCCCCCACAATAATCCACAGACGAACGAATTATTCTAAAGAAAACACATGAGGTACAATTTGAAGATTACAGTGCTGTCGATCAAAGAATTTTCAGAATAAAAACTTTATTCTAATCCAGCAAAATATTCAACATTAATATTTTTATAAGAAAAAAATTATATTTTAAAATTTTAATTACAGATTTTAATTTTTTGTGGGTTTTACAATATATAAGATTATTGTTGAGAAGTTTCATTTAGATTGGCAACGCAACGTTATTAGTCTCTGATCATTTCTGCTCACATATAGCTTCATCCAATTTCACACAGAATTGGATACGGCTACGTCAGATGAATTCCGGAGGCTGTGTCGTGATTTAGTTTTACAACTTGGGTCTTGTGATGTCAAGTCACGAGCAAAACTCATTTCCAGCTCGCCACATGGATATTGAAGGTGAGTTAGGAGAAAATTTGTCGGTTTGATGACCATGGCCTATCAAATTCAATCGTGTTTGGACCTCGTTTCTGAGCTTGCCTGGCTTGAGCTGAGCAGTGCAGCAGAGCTACGTACAGTACTTTAGTACAGGCGTCACTGCTTGCAATGCCAATATACAGCCAGTGCAGTGAGTGCTAGTACTGTAGTAGTGAAGTGAGGGCATGATGACATGACATTATCATTGACATTGACGAGATGTGTGTTACTAATTACTAGTAGACCTAGATTAATTTAGAGTGAGTGCCGAGTGGAGACTATGCTTGATGATGTTGATGTGCATTGGGCTTGAAATGAAAGAGAGCCGAGTGTGAAGGAAGTGGTCCGAGAAAGAGGATCGTCCGCATTTATAAACGAGGATATCCTTGTAAACACCACAAATTGTGACCGCGGAAATAAGAATAGTCTGCGAAAATATTAGCAGATTTTTTTTTACTTTGGCGCTCTGTGGTTTCGAGCTCTTGATCCACGCGCTGGCAATGCGACAAATAGATTCCGCGTAATAAAATACCCCCAGTTCATCGTCTACTTTTTTTGGCTACAGTGAGCAGTTGGGGCGCTGGTACGAGAATAAGGATCGTCTTCATAAACAGGACAGACGCGTCCGCAAAAATAAGGATCGTCCGCGCAGGATTCTTATTTCCGATCCGCGCTGGATCTGCCTTGGCGATGCAAAAGTGGATTCCGCATGTGCATGTGCATTTCACATCAACTTTGTTTAGAGACTTTCACGTTATGAGCAATAAATTATCGGGAAGATGGACAACCCATAAAACAAATACACAGGGGCTCGGGCTGCATTAGCCCCCAAAATGCCAAAAAGATTCCCTGAAAGTCATAAAAGAGCCCCCAAAAATGCATAGAGTTCAATGCAAACAAAATAAAGAGTGTTATTTTCATGCAAGCAAGTTTTAAAAGTAGCCCCAAAAATTTTTAAGTATTTTTTTTCCCTGCCATAAAAGTAGACGGTGAACTGGGGGTATTTTTTGCCAGCACGCGGATAGTGAAACCGAAAACCACAGAGCGCCGAAGAAAAAAAACTCGCGAAAAAATGTGGATGATCCTCGTTTTGTAGGACACATTTAGTCCAACTTCAATGAGTGTTAGAAATGTTTAATATCCCTCCCCGTTTCTCATTCCGAACCTGCCTCTCATACTTCATTCGTAAAAAACTTGAAGGAGAACTAACCCCAAAGCATAACTTAAGTTGTTTTGAGAGATTTATTGCATTCTTGCCAATAAATCCACAAGATTCCCCACCAAAGTGTATGAGAATAGCATACCAGGATAAAGCAAAAATAAAGTACAGTTTCTCAGCAAGACATGGGCATCGCCATTTTCTTGATTGCATGACGTACTATGCGGAGTGGAGTGGTTTATCAACTAAATGTATTCAAATTGATGGATGCTTCCTTCCCAGGTGTTTGTGGTGTTGAAGCATTTCATTCACCTGCTATTACATGTATCCTTTGTACTCAAATTGCCAGAACGCCAATTGCATAAATAAGTTGGTGCTGTTCTGGGGTGAAGGTTTCGCATTTAGAAATAGATTTTTCAACTGCTATATTTTAGTATTTTTAAATAAATGAGTTACAATTGTTACCAGATTATATATTTTCCACCAAATACTGTATTTTAGTATTTTTAAATAAATGAGTTACAATTGTTACCAGATTATATATTTTCCACCAAATGTAATTTTTACCTTCTCGGCTATGATTTTCCCTTATTAAAAAGTAAAGGTTTTGTTATTGAATTTAAAAGTGTTTCCAATTAAAGCTTGGTGCATGATACATTGTACATTTTCAAGAAAATGGCTGCATCCATGCTATGCTAAAAGGCATTACTGGTAGTACTATTAACTCATTTATTACATCATGCCAAGAAATCTTCATGTATATCTCTTGTACATGTTTGTAAGATTTATTGTACATCAAAAGGCAGGAATTCATTTCGTTTTTCAGAATCCCTACATGTACACTTATTATTTGGAGTTAGTTCTCCTTTAAGTGAAGAACTACACAAGGTGATCAAGTACCTCACATTTTTTATTTCAATGTCAACCATTGAGAAGCGATTTTGTGTGTGTTATAAGCCAAAATTCTCATGAACGTGGTACTTGTACATGTACATGTATGTAGGTAGTTAAAGAGACTGAACTGATGGAGATACACATTACAGATACAGGTATAGCCCAAAATCATGTTTGAGAAGAAAAAATATATATTTGACTCGCATTACTACATCTGTAAACATTTCTATGAACTTGAAAATTCAGCCCAAAAGTTATGGAAAGCAGGATTGTATAGTAAGTAATTCAAAATTCTTATGACAATAGAAACTATAATTTTGAAAATTTAATGATTATATTTTCTTGTGACAGGTAACCTATCTTAACCTATCAAAAACTTTGTGAATAGTTGTCTCGCATTCTAATACAGATTAATTCATCTGCTTTCATGACTGTAAACAATGATACTTAACCTTTCACCTTTAACCCTTTCATCAGGAGAAGTACTCAATGTCCAGCAGAGGGTAGGGGATCTGGAGTCCTCCCTGCAGGCAGTCCTGCAAGAAAAGAAACTTCAAGAGGAAGACTTCGCTCAAAAGAGAGCAAAGTTCAAAGAGCTATACTTGACCAGAGAACGTAAGTTGGCAGAACATTAGAAATCTTCCTACAAACAAGAAGCAACTCCTATTACCGGTATTTAATTTCTGTTACAACCAAGAATAAGAGAAGAAGAAAAAATTGTGTGTAAAGGAACAAGAGGTAAGAAAATTAGAAAAATAATGAAAAATTTGAAAGACTAGGATGTCAGATGAAAAATTATGGATACATTTAATCAGCAAACAAAACTGAATCAACTCTTGAAAGCATACATGAACTGTGTAAATGGTCATCTATTTAAAACATGTGATTCCTAATAATGGCTGAAATGTCTTTTAATGAATAATGATGATAATAACAAAAACGGTACTTTACTTTCAAAGTGTTTTCCACCAAAGTCTCTAATCGCTATGAAGAGTTATAAATGCTAATTTGATGCTCAACCATTTGTTGACCTGTTTGTTGAAAGTAGCTCCTGTTTGAAATGAAGATCAAATTTGTAATTAGCAACATTATTTATACCCCCCCCCCCCTCCCAACCTTAAATGACAAAGAAATATTAAAATGTCAAGACCAAATAATGTTTCTTTGCATTTTTTTCTTAACTTTCCTCAGAGGAATTGATCAAAGAGGTGGATAACATCAGAGAGGAGAAGGATAGATTGAGCGAAGAATTGGCTGGTCTAAATACAGCTGCATCTGTCATCGAGAGTAGCAAAGATGAAGAAATTGCGGAGATCAAGCAAAAATGGACTGACGAGGTTGCATCACTCCAACAAATTGTTTCTCGTAAGTTTTGTCCATTTCTTTAAAATGCAACATGCACTTTCTTCTATGATCCTGGGCCCGTATTCAACTCAATACTTAAATTTGAAATATGAGTATTTTACTTAGTCTTCGGCTTAGATGAAATGCTCAGCCAATTTTGGTATTCAGTTCAAACTTTTGTCTTTTGGTTTGGTTATATTCTTCTTCTTTTTTAAATTTTCAATGAAAATCTTTGAGTTTGACTTCATTATGTTTGGAGATTTATATATAATCATGTCTGTCCATGTTAATTATGTTGCATGTTGCAAACATTTCTCAAAGATGCTCATAAGTACAGAACTGGTGATTTTAATGTTGTCTATTTCTACAAAACTTCACTTTATAAATGTCTACATGTAGATGACTAAATGAATAAATAATAATGCATTTTGAAGATTTCTTTCTGTGGAAGGCATAACATTTAATTGTTGGTACATGTACATGTACAGTATATGCCAATAATATGTATTTTTTGTTTACTGTAAATTATTTTCTTAAATTTGTTGGTAAACATACCTGTAGGCATATACAGGCAGTACAATATGTTGTACATGAAGGTTCCTTGCAATGCTGGATAATGTAAAAAATGTGTTGTATGTCTCACACATTACTAGACTAGATGTCATTCCTAAAATAGCACATCAGGTGGAATGACTAAGCAGAGATTAGGTCTCTGAGATCACAGGAAATCAGGATGGAATCGTTCTTTATCTCCAAACCTAATAAGACTAATCTGGTCTTTCCTTTACAGAAATCATTTCCATTTCACTTCTACATGTGCCCATTTCAACTATTGCTCCTGCATGTGAATGTGTTTTCATTTGGAAAACATGCACGAGTGAGGCAGTTTCAGTTAGAATGTCTAGACAAAAATGTTGTTCCATGAGAACTGTTTGTTTCATGACCAGTGTAAGATGTACAAGGGACCCGTGAGCGATTTAGACCTAGAAAGCTCCCAATGAGCTCTGATATAAAACAATGAAATATTTAAATATTAAAGTGAGAATATCACACTTATGGCAACACTTACATGTGTGAAACACAGAAATTTATTTTTTTCGCTGTTCATGACATGTACAATACAATATTCAATTTTCTTTTTAAAACAATAACAAATGACAGGAAAGAGCACTGTGCCTACTGAGGCCGTTCTGGCTTTTGGAGAATTTGTTTTTCTTTTAAAGAACAATGATGGCATGAGAAAATTAGTATTGCCTCACTATGCATTTGATGAGACAATTCCTGTTGTAAAGATTGAAATCATAATTTTATAATGAAATAATCGTAATGTGCTTTTAAATGCATTTTTTTCTGGGAATTTCATCTGCACTCTTCTGGAAATTATATTCAACAGTTAGATCAGTGGTACAATTCTATAAAAACAAATTATGAATGTCATGCTGACATGCAGGGTGCCCAAAGCCATCTCTGAAAAGATGAGTAAGAATAGTACGATATCTTATTGCTGATAATTCAAATGTGGTTTTGGTTGATGACTTTATAAATCCATTGGGTGACACTAAAAAGAATATGAAATTACTGAAAGAGGATAACACTGAAGTGGTAAACCATTTAAAAAAAAATTTAAAAATTGTATTCACCCTGTAGACACAGCAGCAATAACTGCTGAGGAGACTGCAATGACGTACCTTATGGAACGAGACAAACTCCTGGCACTCAATGACAAACTCACACAGGAGCTTCAAGAGCTCAGCCAGTATCCAGCCGGGGAGAAGTAAGTCGATTAGTTTTATAGAAGGAAACAAAAACAACATTATAGGAGGTACATGTATTTGAAGGTAAAAGGTTTTAAAGAAGTTCAAAATGGAAAGAATGCTTCTTTTTTTAAACTTTTCTCTTGCACGATTCTACCGTGGTTCACGCAATGTTTGAAAAATTTACCATTCAGCAGTCAATGTTTGTATTTGATAAAACTATTGATTAGATGCCTTTTCTAGTTAATTAAATTCTTGAGATTGATTGTATACAAATTTCACATTTGAATGAACATGAATGGAGAAGAAACTGTCATGATTTTACTGAACTTTGTATTGAATACATCTGGAAGTAAGAATTTTATTTCTTTCCTACTTTATTTCATTTTCAATTACTTATATTTTTCTCTTTTTAAATTGCAGATATATTTATCACAAATAATTTTCTTAAATTTCATTATGTTTAAGAACGATGACGTCTTCAGGCAGTGCTGGCCTTCTGACGAGTATGACAAAATCATTCCGCAACTTGACCAGCACCACCACCAGTCCATCTCCTACCAGGGAGGAAAAGCCTTCTCTACCACCGACCCCAGTCTCCCCATCAGCACAAGACAATCTGGAACAGAGTATGCTTAAGGTACATTGTATAGTATAATTTTTATTCATGCCCCTCTCTCCCTCCCCCCCCCCCCCTCTCCATCATACACCCCTTGCATACTTATCTCCTACCACAGACAATTTTTCACGCCGCCCCCCCCCCCCCCCCCCCCCCCCATCATAGACCCCAATCTCTCCATCAGCACTGGACAATCTTGAACAGAGTGTGCTTATAGTACAGTATTATACTCTATTTACACCCCTCCCCCAGATTACACCCCTTGTTTACTTATCTCCTATCACAGGGTTTTCACAAAGCCCCCCCCCCCCCCCCCCCCCGCCTCATCATACATTCCTCTCCCTCGTACCCCTCTACTTATAGACCCCAATCTCTCTCAGCGAGCATAAGACAATATAGAATTGAGTACTGGTATGGTTAAGCTAGGTATCATCCTCTCTTAATTACCCCCCCCCCCCCCCCCCCCCCCCCCCCCCCCTTCCCTCACCAAACACCCCCCTCTACTTGGCTCGGTCGGTCATAGGACAACTAAATGAAACAATAATAATAATAATACTCAGTTTTTATATAGCGCTTATTACAATCATATGTGATTTCAGAAAATTTAGTATACAATTCTGCTTGCATCAGGTCAGATGAATACATGTAGGTGAAGGTAGGTTTTGGTCAGCCAAAATTCACATGGCCAATGGAAGATTCAAACTAGAATTTAATAATGTATGTATTCAAAATCAAAACAGATATTTAGCATATCCCTGTTTTAATTTAAATTGGACCAAATAAGAACGTATTCATCAAGTTTTGTTCCGATGTACAGTTGTAACATGAATTGTGAGAAAACATTTATTTGTTATTTCTTTGTTTCACCTCAGGCACAGAAAGATTCAGAGATGCTTCGAGCTGTTGTAGTTCCCCTGGAGCGAGAGATAGAGAGTCTCAAACAAAAGTTATCAGATGTTGGCAGTGACAACAGACGTCTACACGCAAGGCTTAAGGTAAAGAAGAGAGTTTCATTGACAATCGATAATAATAATTAATAATAATAATAATAAAAACAGTGCACCAAAGTCTCTAAGCGCTTTAACAAATAAAATACAATGATTAACAATTACAAATTAAACAAAACAAAAAAGGACAAATAAACCTACAGATTACAATACACATGAAATATACATCAATGTGAACAGACACAAAAAGTTTTTAAAAATGTTCTGTTAATGTGAAATCAATATTTACTTGTTATTAGACACCTTTTTTTTCCTTACTGGATGAAAAAAGGGACACAATCTTATGGTGTGTGGAGAGAAAGAAGGGTGGAAACTGTATGAGAAAAGTCATTTAGTTAATGCCCTCCTGGCTCTCAACAGACAGTATATCTGTGTCCAAGTCATCTGGAGAATAGTGGTTCATTTATTTTTATTGCACACAAATGAATATTGTCTTCCTTCTGTACTAAATATGTATATATGTATGTAACAATTGCTCAGCTGCGACTAACTGACATCATAGAAAGGCCAATTTAATAACATGACCTGAGCAGGGATTTACTGATATCAAATTTTCATTAATTCCAATTTGAAAAAGATACAGAGCTGTTTACCAACGCTCTGTTTTGAATTTGATTGATTGTAAAACAATTCCATTTTGAATGTTGTACATCCCTTTAAATGATGAAGTGAATTGGTTTCACTTTCGTGCAGTGTAAGTATTTATATTCCTTAATAGTCTATGGTATCTCAAGAACCAAATGCCATGTGTTCTGTAGACAAACTTCAGAACCTTCAATGAGAAGTGATTTACTGTCGGAACATGCTGTCTTACCGAATGGCTATGTAATACGTATCAGATAGATTACAGCTTAGCATGTTTAATAGTTTATCTCTACTGATCCCAATAAAGATGCCTCAAAGAAACAGGCCTGATAATTTCCTGATTTTTTTTTCCCCTGAATTTATCCCTATTTTTCCTGATTTTTCCCCTTATTTTCTCTATTCTTCCCCTATTTTTCCCCAATTTTCTTACTCAAAAAGGGGAAAATGTTGTTAGATGCCATTTGTTCCCCCTGAATCCTCTTCTTCTTTTTTTTACTCACGGGGGGCGTGGTTGAGGGAAGAAAAAAAAAACATACATTGTAACTATGTGTCCACTTCATGCAGTTATTTCTGTGAAGATCTCAGCTTTTTTATACAAACTGATTTGGGTTTTAAGGTGTATCATAAAATTAGTAAAATACAACATTTGGATTTGTCATAGAACTCATTCCTTAATATCCATGGTCTCGTTTCATTAAATCACCTATCCTTTTGATATGTACAGAAAGCTACTGGGAGTAAAGACTACAGTGATGCCGTACCAACGCCTGATCACTATGGCTACGAGGTCACCAAGGATGACATTGATATTCTGAATGAGAAGGTAAGAGTGGAAGGCCGGCCGTGAGTGAGTGAGATGTTTTGAAAATTTATCTTTGTTCCCTCTTACGGCTAGCTAGGTGGGTCAAGCTCGCTATCCATAACCCGTGACTAAATGAATAGCGGTCTTTTATAAATGGTAGTCCTTATAAATAGCGAGTAGACCCCTGCTAGTTGGTCATGAAATAGATTTTTATTTCATGTGACACCTAGAAACTTTTACATTCATAAATACCTAAATGGGAGGTTTCAAAAACATTAAAAAAACAATTGTAAGAATGTATTCTTACTATGTTATTCATCACAATATTGAAAAATACTATGAATCTGCCAACAAAAGTGTTGCCAGAGGCATCAAAATTCAGTTAAATTGTTGAAATATTTTCATCGTATTTGGCAAATTAGGAATATAAGGGAATTTCAAGACCGATCCTTTTCATGTGACATTGCTTCTATGATATTTGTCCATGTCAGGAAAAGAAAAGCATGGGAAAGCTCACATTTTTTTTCTCACATAGAACTCATTGAGAACACAATACAAAGAGCACTGTCCCACTCTTTATCCTCTTTGACACGACTTTTTATTCTTATAATAAATGTATCTAAGTAATAATCTATTGTAATATCTAGTTCAACTGATTTTACAAATACCTTTTTTCAATGAGAACTCTTTGAGAACACAATGAACTCTTGCCCCTCTCTTTAACTTCTTCTTATAAAAAACAGGACAAGCTGCTTCTAAAGCTACCTCACATGAAAAACAAAAGTAACTCTTTGAGATTGTGCTTTCATTTGCGCCGCTCCAAAGCTTTGGAATAACCTGCCACTAGACATAAGAAAATTTGAAGAAGCACTTGTTTTCAGGAGCTTTGAATAGTTGTTATGCCTCAGCTACAAGTTAGCCGGAGGCATTATTTTATTTTTGTATTCTGCGTCTGTAAAGTAGAACTTTTATGAGTTCTGTTTTCATCACAGTGCGATGGGTTATATTCATATAGTGGCTGTGCTAAATAGGTTGATCTAATTGTTTATTTTATTATTATTATTTATCTCCCTGTGCTATGCATAACATGTAAGCTAACATTGTATCAAGATTCAATTGATTTCCTGCACTTTGCCTCTCCCTGCTGAATGCAGATCAGGGATTTGAACAAGGTGTTAGAGACGGAGAAAGCCGCCAGGACAGACCTAGAGCTTTACGTGGCTGTGCTTGGTAAACAGAAACATGTCATGCAGGATGAAGGTGATCAGATGAGAGATGAACTCAAAGATGGTAAGATTACCAACTATTCATTATCTTCAAGCCCCACTGTACTACTTATCGCTACATGTGCTTGTACCCTCTATATAGCAAACAATGCCTAATCGGTAATTGTTTGTCCCTAATGGTCCCCTTTATGTTAATTGAGAACTGATTGATAAGATAACCACCTGTCAGTGACCATGCTGGGAGGGTATTCCCTCCTGGCGAAACTAGTGCAGATAGGCTTTAAAGCCACGATATGTCTTTTGATGTATGCCATGTTAAACATGATGATTGCATTCAGGCAATCAACTTCAGTGGAAATATATGAAGGCCTTTGAATGTTCCTGATGTCTTCCTCTTCAGCATTCGTCTTGTTCCACTGCTATATCTTGAATATGAGTGTAATTTAAAAAGAACACTGGTCACCTAGTAATGATTTCACTGTAAATAGTTATATAATTAATTACATGAATTATGATATGGAATTAGACTGCACTCAAATTCCAAATGAATTTCTCTGCAGTGTGCAGTATTCTAGAGCAAGAGAAACAAGCCCACTCTCAGCTTCAGCAGACTTGGCAGATGGCCAACGACCAGTTCCTAGAATCCCAGAGACTCCAGATGATGGACATGAGGAGGATGGAGAGCGTCCTGACGGAGGAGCAGCAGAGACAGATTGGCGAGGTCCTGAAGAAGGACCAGGAGCGCGAGGAGCAGGAGAAGAAGGTCAGGGTCCTGCAGGAGAAGCGGGAGAGCCTAGAGAAGAGACATTCCAAGGAAACTGCTGAGGTGAGGAGGGAGGGCATCATCTTTCTTTTTATCTTGATTTGATCCTCGAGGGTCGGGGGGTTGACAACAAAAATAGGTAGCGATGGGACATTATGCAACTAATGGTGTCGATAAAACTGATAAGGATGTTTCCTGAATGATTTTGAAGTGATATATAGTCGAACCCTTTATATTCTTTTAGAGCAATACTTAACGCTACCACAAGTTATACTCGTATCTACTCATGTGATAGATATGTTGTGTGTCAGTTTTGGAGATACTAGGTTAGGCAATATGACAATTGAATACCAAGTATTCATGCTTTCTCAATAAACCTGTCTTTTATGTGAGATCAAGATTGTCTTTATTCTATGGTGTCTCTGAGAGGAGAATCCAATTGTTTTGCTGTAATTAAGAGGGCTTACAGTAGGCTTGTGGTTGCACCATGTGAGAGAGGGGGAGGATTGGGGAGTCCTGAAAAGGACTCTCAGTAATCTTTCTTTCTTGAGTGTGTGTAGTCCTCACAAGGACTGTTGGTGTAATCTTGAAAAAGACTGTTGGTTATCTTTCTTGTTTCTGTTTGTTGTTCTGTACCCATGCAGCAAGAACCTACCCAGCAGGTACCACCCGCACAAACCAACTCGTCTTTGCTGCTGAGCAGAGACGACATCGAGGACAGCGACGACGCCCTCCTGGTCCCCTCCTCCATGGACACGCCCAACAGCTCCACCCCCTCCAGGCTCCACCCATCCATCAACTTTGTCGGCCCCAACGTCGACCCGGAAGAGCTCTTGCAGTTCGACACCACTGATTCGTCCGGTGGAGCAAAGACGACGGTGCACGGCAGCATATCGGAGATAGGCGCGCAGAGTGGACACAATACGTCTGATATGCTTGGCACCAGTTATGATTCTGTATCACTATGTTCGAATATCAGTCTGACGGAGGCACAGGAAAGAGCTATCTCAGGTACAGAACTCACTTCTCTTTTAATCTACAAAATATCAAATGTTTGGAGTATTGTTTTCTTATGAAGCAGTCTTTAGAGCGGGTTATTTGCATCCTGATTATGTATGTAAACAACCAACAATTTGATTGAGTAGTATGTGGAATATCGGTGAAAAAGGCAGGCAAGAGAGTCGTCAGTGATACAGAATACACATAGCTACAAAGAAGCAGTCATTTCTCTTGTCTTATAAGTAATTAGTGAATTTAAAACTTGGTATCGTTTTGAATTTCTCACACTTGTAGGAACCCCTGAATCAGAGGAGATGAAGAGTGTTCTAGCCAGTGCTCGGTCCAAGACTGATCTCTACTCCCTGCTGGCAGGCAAGAGAGTCGTCAGTGATACGGAATGGACAAAACTACAGGAAGAGGTCAGTTTTGTTCATGAAATCCTGGCAATGACATAAGATAACTATATAAAAAGGAGGAGTGGTTATAACTGAGTGACACTATTATGTTTACAATGTGTGTTTTTTACCTAACCTGAGTGAACTAATAGTAATTTTATGTCGGTTACCATAGTTTGTAGGATATACACCCAACGATATATCAGATAATACAATACTATTCCTTCATTTTGAAAGTCCAAATGTAAGCATTCATTCCTTTTGAGAAAAGTGAGAAATACCTCCTTACAATGCCCTATTTTGAGCCCTATCACCACCTGTGCTGTAAGTTTCACTACAGTTTACATATTTCCATGTACAGGGTATGTGATTGAGTTTTGTCGAGATTTCTCTTCATATACTGAACTTCCTGAGCTTTTATTGTACAGTCAATTCTATTAATCAACAAACATGGCCATCTAGATATAAATCAATCTATTTCATGCTCATATTTCCATTCATGTGAGCTACTTTACTACATGTACTGCTATGATATGTAATATATATGTGTGATAATGCACAATGTGCATTTTAGGGCCTCGGGGTGTTTCACAAAGATCCTATTAAGTTAAACTTATTTCTAAGTTGGAGGTAACAATTATGGAAAGCGGTAAGCATCTATGAAAATATGTTGTGAAAGATATTTTAAAAGGCATACAATGTTGATTCAAATCATTCATATTGTCTATTATCAAGGAAATTCATGTCCTTGATGTGGAATTTATAAAAAGTCTAAAATACTTGAATTTTTGCTCTTTAACATATTTTATTTTAAGGCTACTTATGGCTCTCCATAATGTTAAAGTTCAACTTAGAGTTAAGTTCGACTTAGGATCTTTGTGAAACAGCCCCAAGGAGTCTTTGGTGATAACTCGTAGCATCTTTGATATGTTATGAACAGTTAACATTGATTGTACATGTACATGTTTATTTACTCTGATTGCCAGGTTCGGTTTGCTAGAGAGAAGCTAGGCAGACCATGCGACTTGTGTACCAACTATGAGCAGCAGCTGCAGAGTCTTCAAACCAAGTATTCAGAATCCTTGGAGAGTTCAAGAACCCTTAGACAGGTAGTACTCTTTCTAATCCACACACCTGTATATAAAGACCACACAGGGTTGATAACAAAAATGAGCATTAGGGAGGTGGTCTTTAAGTGCAGGTTTAGTTAATCCATGTTTCAGTTAACCCTATTTTAACTGGGCTATTTCAGACCAGGTTTTTACTGGGGGGGGGGTCAATTTGACCCCCCCCTAAGATCTCGGCCGTTTCACCGCCGATCGCCGTGAAAATTTGCATGCATGTCAAGTGAAGTGTATAGAATACAATGGTAATTTCAAATTTTTGAAAAATTCACTCATTTGCATATTTATGGTAATTTATGCAAATAAGGTCATAAAATTCACATTGCGGCCCATAAATCATAGATTATTCATATTTAAGTAATCTTTTTCACTACATATATTTATTAGACCATTTGGAATAATAATACAACACAAAAAATTGGAAGAGCCAGGTTATTCCTTATGTTATCTCTTGTTTTTATAATTTCTTATGTATTTCATTGTTTTTTTAACTTATGTATTTTATTGTTTTTGTTGTTTTATTTCATTTATAACTACAATTCACCTATTTTGACCTCAAAACAAACATCTAAACTTTAAACAAGACTGAATAACCAATGTTTTATCTATTTTTAGGGAAAATGACTTTTACATATGTTTTGTACACAAATCATGAAAATGAGCGATTTTCGGGCTGACATGCAAAGACAAAAGGTCACGCGACCTTTTAACCGTAGGTCCGATTTTCAAAAAAATCGTTTTAAAAGATGCGTAAGACTCGAAAGTAAAAAGTCATGAGAGGAAAATTTTATATCTGCCGCGGTTTCGGAGTAGTCGCGAAATTTCTACAGGGGGGGGGTCAAATTGACCCCCCCCCCCAGTTAACGTAGGGTTAAGAGAGTCTTCAGACCAAATACTCTAAATCCTTGGAGAATTCAAGAACCCTTGGACAGGTATCACTCTCACTGCCCTGTACTTGTGTATAAGGACCATGCAGGGATGATAACAAAATAGGGATTAGGGAGGTTGTCTTTAAGTGCAGGTTTAGTTAATCCATGTTTCAATTATCAGAGTCTTCTGACCAAGAAGTCGGGATCCTTGGATTATTCAAGAACCCTTAGACAGGTATCAGTCTCACTGCCCCTGTAAACATATAAAGACCACATACGCTTGAACAGAGAAGCATGGTTTATATTAGCAGGTTTATTAGCAAGTTTACTTCATTCATGTTCAATGGACAGTCTTAAGGCCAAAAATACTCTGAATTCTTGGGAGTATTGTTGAACCCTTAGCCAGGTATTACTCTCACTATCATGGTAACCTGTATAGAAAGTCCACTGAGGAGAGGCAAGAAAAATTGGCTGTATGTAGTTGGTCTTTGTGTTCAGGTTTGTTGCTCAATGAGAAACACCGTTAGTTACTTCAAGGAAAACCAAGAATGTGTTTTTTTCTTCTATGCCGGTGGTTTCTAAAGCAGGTTAGTAAAAGATATCATGCTTGGCAGAATGGCATAAGAAAGGAAATGTATATTTGTCTCTTTATTTTATCTTTAGCAACTCGAGCAGGAGATAGACAATGTATTGAGAGAGCAGAAGATTCGTTCAGAGTTGGAGGAGAGCTTAAAGAATGCTGCAGAAGATGCACAGATACAGGTAATCAAATAATAACACTCATTTGGCATATTGATTGGGGGAGGGGGGTGGATTTTGGATAAAAAAATTATGAAAATTTTCTTATGTTAATGTGGTGAACTATTTTGTACACAATTAGTTCACCACATAATATTCTTTCCCCAAAATAAAATGTCCTCATATAGAGTTTCTCTTGGATTTCTGCATCCAAAACAGCAAATTATTTGGAGTGGACTTAGCCTTTAAGGAAACAGCTTAAATAAATATATTTTTTAAAGGTATGATGTAACTTTGAACATAGCATTTCACTGTTTTTTTTGAAAGATCAAACACCAACAACAATGTATGATGTTGGCACACGTATTATTTGTATTCCATCAATGATAAATTATTTTTTATTTGATTTTTTTTTTTTTCTTCTTCATTTCAGATCAAAACACTAACCACCAAGAATGGAGAGTCAGAGGAACTCTTATCAAATCTTAGACTCCAATATTCAAAATCACAAAATGAGATACATTCCCAAATGGTAAGTTTCATCTTATTTCTTCTATCATGCCTCAGTGTGTTTTTCTTTTAATTTAAGAAAGTTGACATCGTTTTACCTTCACAGTGTCTTGTTTTTTTTTTATTTCTTATTAATTTCTTATTATTTTTATTTAGGGGGGGGGGGAGTAGGTACCATAATCTCAATAAAATCATTACTCACACCACTTCTTGGGAACTATATATGATGGGAATAACTCTTTTGTGATTCTGCAACGCTGTTATAACTTCTTGACCATTCTTGAATGCTTTTATTCAGACCTGTCTAAATTAAGAAATTTCACTCCAATTGCTCGTCAGATGAGGAATATTCCATGAGGAATATTGAGAAAAATGAGCATTTTGTGATTCCATCAATCTTTCATTTTTTTAGTTTCTTTCTCCTTCTACGTGTACATGCAGGAAGGTAAAAGCAACTTGAAACCGGAATTCTGATTTCATAGCCAAGAGCTTGTTACATTTCCACATTGTAATTTCACTCTCTCTCTCTCTCTCTCTCTGCAGCAAATCCTAATTGAGTCAAGAGAACAACTTTACCAAGAGGTTAGTCAAAAGTGGAAATTGAGAGTCATATCGTGAAATGTACTTGTTAGATTGTAGTTTTGGCCAGCATCAAAAATTGGTTTTGTGAAAATGGATATTTACAATCCAACTTATCAATTTTGTTGTCTCATTTGATATTTTATATGCAGATCTGAAGATTGTATCTTGATTTATTTATGATGTTCTCCAGGGCCCGTATTCAATTCAGTACTTAAAGGGGAAGTCCACCCTGAAATTAAGTTAGTTTTAATAGGAGTAGAAAAATGAGAGAAACAAGTCAGTGAAAGTTTGAGCAAATTCCGATTGAAAATAAGGAAGTTAGGATTTTTGAAGTTGTGATCAATCAAACACAAATTGGCAACTCTATGACGTATCATGCGAGCTCAACTTCCATTTGCTCAGTACTAAAAAAATCTAAAATTTTCATTTTCCCTCAAGAAAAATTTCAACCATACATGCACCCTAAATATAATAATTGCAAATATGTTTCTATACTCTCCCTGCAAGGAACAAATATATATTCCGTCATCAATAACGAAGAAAACATGATTTTATGGAATATTATGCACAAAGCAAATGAAGGTGAGCTCGTATAATAAGTCACAGAGTTGCCAATTTGTATTTGATTGATCACAACTTCAATAATTCATAACTTTCTTATTTTCGTTCAGAATTTGCTCAAACTTTCACTCACCTGATTTTCTTATTATTCTGCCTCTATCGAAACAAACTTATTTTGGGGGTGGACTTTTCCCTTTAAGTACAAAATGTAAGCTTTTTACTTAGTATTTGGCTTAGATAAAATACTAAGCCAATTTTGGTATTCAATTCACACTTTTGGTATTTAACTCTAAATCTAAGCCAACTCCATACCAGACTTAAGTCAATTATCTGGGGGCCTTGATTGGCAGGCATATGGTTTTCTTACGCAGTCTTATAACCTGCACAAAATTCTATCAGCGCGCATTTATTGCAATGCATCAATCGCGCATTACTTTTGATGGACCGTGTGACGTCACAATGCTTATCAGTACATTTTTACTTAGATTTTGTCTTACGTAAGTATAAGTCTAAAATGCGATTTGAATACGAGATAAGTAAATTACTTAACTTAGCCGTTTACTTAGTAAATTTCTTACTTATGCTAAGTATTGAATTGAATACCGGCCCAGATCTATTTCTGCTGAGAAACTATAGAAATGAAATAAAAATTGGAAATGTTAATGACTGTTTTACATTTTATCATGATTATGTGTGTGATATTTACCTATATTTTTAATGATGAAATATTTCTGCAAAAAAACTTATTTTTTGTTGTTGTTTGTTTTACAGGTAATGAAATTACAGAAAGAGAACGACAGTCTTAGTGCCAAAAGGTCGTTGCATCAGTCACTTCAGAGCAGTGAGCCATTCGACTTGCCAACATCTCCACAGGTTTGTAGGATAGAATCAGAAATAAGTAGTTTAAAAGGCTCAATGGAGCAAGTTGATGATCATGAATGGTGATGAGGTTGTGACATCAAGACATTTGATTTGCTATCAACACCACAGGCTCACATATGTTAGAGGTACACTCTAAGAACGACCAATCACAACAAATATTTTGCTGTGAAAAGTTGTTGTATCTTTTTAAAACAATACTTCCACTTGTGTACCGTATCATGGAATGCAAGGCTAGGTCATCAATGAAAACGAAATTACATCACTTTTATGAGCATGAATTCATTTTTTGTCACTGGATCGGGCAATTAGAAATAAATGACAAATGTCTGCATACCTGCATACTATAACTACAGTCAAACCTGCTTTTTATAGCGAGTACCTATATAGAAAAAACACCTGTCTATAGAGACCTCTTTTTTGTTTTCCCTTGAAAATGGTTTCTCATTGAAACATGAACTAAAGGAACCTGTACATGAAGACCACCTGCCTGTAAAGACCACTTTTCTTGCCTTCCTTAGGTGGTCTTTATAGACAAGTTTCACTGTATATTAAAACATTGTTGTGACTATATATACTCCGCACAGGAGCTTTCCCATCTGTGCATGAAGTATCGTGACGACATCATCACGGTCCGAGTAAATGCTGACCACACCGAGAGCTCACTGCGAAGCGAGCTTAGCTTTACCAAGGAGCAGCTATCATCAGAGCAGCATCAACGCATGACCATGGAAGACACCTACCAGACGGAGCTGGATGATTATAAGGAAGAACTACGTGAGTAGGACTAGATTGTTACCAGAGATCCACGTCTGGTCTCGTCTAAATTCTAAACATCCATATTCTAGTTTTAGATTGTCTTTCCAGAAGTATCAGGTTTAGTTCTTCAATTCAATTCAGTTAAACGCCTCTTTGGTTAATTCAAGCAATGCTTCCAGATTGAGCAGTTTATGCATTAATGAAACGCAATTGAATTCATGATCAAATTTTAAACCAGTAGATTTCTGGGTCCCGTCTTATTGCGATTAATTTGAATCAATCACAACTCTGTATAGTTATGAGGTACATATATAAATTGTGATCTACCAGGATCTACCTGCAACTAATGATTATAATAATAATAATAATACAAACAGTGCTTATAAAGGGCTTACCGCCAAAGTCTCTAACTATAAGTGCTATAACAAACAAAATACAATGATAAACAATTACATATTAAACAGAACAAAACATTACAAATAAACCTACAAATTACAATACACATGAAATATACATCATTGTGAACAGAGTATGTTAATCATCAAAAGCAATTTTGAATAAATGTGTCTTAAGACAAGTTTTTAATAGGTTGACAGTCTGCCATGTAAAAACCATGCAATATGTTTGCTCATAAAATACTAAATCATAATCTTAATATTATAATTTGTTGTTAATCTTTCATATTTCAGTCGTATTCCGGAACTTGAGGGAGGAATATGAGAAAGAGAAGAAAGCCAGAGGAGAGGTGGAAGAGACCTTGAAAGAGGTCCAGGAATCTAAGAAATCTATGCAGGCCAAGTCCAAAGAGGTCATCACCACACTTAGAGAACAGGTGGAAGAATTGTCAGCCCATAAGGTAGGCCTACCTCTTTAGCCACCACTTGGACTTGTGATGGTGTTGTTTCCTGTTTATGAATAGATTACCTGGTCGCAGTTATCAATAATATTTACTAAGTATCAGCATTTTTGTCTCGCCTGCATAGCAAAAAGCGAGACATAGGCGCCGCTTTTCCAGTGACGGCGGTGGCGGCGTCAACATCAAAACCTTAACCTAAGGTTAAGTTTTTGAATTTTTGATATAATTTTGAAAGCATTAGTTCTTTGTCAATGAAACTTAGACTATAGGGTTATCAAGTATCCCCAATCATGTGAGTAGTATTTCAGGTCACTAAGTTAAGGTCAAAATTTAGTTTAGGTCAACAAACTTAGACTTTGTTGTGGCATCAACATCAAGATTTTGAATTTTTAGCGTATTTTCAAAATTGTTTGTTCAAATTCCATGAAACTTGTACCCAAGGGTTATCAGGTATCACAAATCATATGACACAGATTCCAGGTCACAAGGTCAAAGGTCATTTTAGGTCAGTAGACTTGGATTATGTTTTCACAACTTAATATGAGAATTAATAAATCATTTTTTAAATTAATATGTTCATATTTCATTTGAGTCATCGATCGTGGTACAATTAATAGTAAATAATTCTTCTGATGATTCTTAGTCAGTATTCACTTCAAAATGCTGATTATGTTCAGAGGATTTCATTTTTGGGGGGCCTGCTAATGGGCCACCCTGCCTATAAATAATGTTACAACCTCAATTTTTCATCATATTGAATTACGTAATGCAGGCGAGACCGCCGAGAGCGTTTCCCTTGTTTATCACTCTGTAACACCTCTAAGCATTATTGTACTTATTGTTCAAATAAATAAATAAAACTTGTTTTGCCTATTTATGAAATATCAGATGCAGTAAGATGATTTTCTCCTAATTTAGATATTTGATATCTAATCTTTTGTAATGAACAAACCAATAAAATTGAATGTTGAGTGATTACTTGAGGATAAGGGCAAATCAATTGATTTTTAATTTTTTCTCTTTCAGACAAATATAGAAGCCGATTTGCAGGATAGGAGGAACAAGGTTCAGAACCTCCAGTTAGAGCTAGAAAACTCAGAGGCTGTGCAGAAAGATTTTGTCAAATTATCACAATCACTACAAGTGAGTGGCTGATCGATCTATCTAAATTGGCAATGATTTCAGTATTACTTCCCCACAGTTGTGCGATGGAAGAAATACATTTTGGTGAGATGTGTAATTCTAAAGCAAAGGAGAAGAAAAAGTTGAATTAACACTGTATACTTCTTCTTATTCCATAATTGACATTTTGAAAACAGGGGGGCGTTTCACAAAACTTGTCATCAGTGAAAAATTACAGTTTTTGTTATAAGCTACTGAAATCCTTGCTATTGATTGGTTATCAACAGATTTGTCACTGATTTTTGTCATTTGTCATTGAAAAAAAGGCTTTGTGAAACGGGTCCCAGAACAGTTCTTGAATTTGTCATTATTGATATAAACAATTATTCCAAGATCTATATAGGAGGCAAGTTGGCCCTGTCTCTAAAGCGTCTGCCTGTCGAACCAAAGATACCGGGTTCAACTCCCATCCAGGCGGAGGTTATGTTAAGTGGAAAACACTCTGTCCCTTGGATAGGACGTAAATGGAGGCCCCGTGTAGAGAAGAGTCACTACCTTTGCACGTTAAGAACCCACTGCACCATTAGTATAAGAGTAGGGGGGAACCTCGGTGCAGTGGTCCACCTGCACACACCCCCAGTATAGTACGATAATACTCTGTAAAGAGGTCTGTACTCAAAAAAATTGTGGTAAAACATTTCATGAGGGCTGATTGAGCATCACAGTATTTTCATGGATAATCTTCTGTTATATTTCTTTCTAAAAAATAGTTTCACTGAAAATTGTTTATAGTCCTATACCCTTATTTATGTGTTTGTAGTCCCACAAGCTAATAGTTGTGTTGGTATTCATTCCTATGTAGGTTCAGCTTGAGATCATTAGACAGAAAGACAATGAGGTCAGATGGCAGCATGAAGATGATGCTGACAAGTGCAATAATTGTAAGACAGCCTTTGGATCAAGCAAAAAGAAAAAGGTGAGAACTGTTGCAATATTTGGAGACTTAAAAGAATTGGGTATCTGTGTCTCAGATTCTTAACAAAATCCTTGATTTAGCTCATGCTGTATTCATAATTATAAACCTTTAGGTCAGTCAGGAATTCCATGATGTTTACAAGCCGATCGCCCCTCTGATTATCAAGATATTTTTATAACACTACAGTCTATTGGAAAAAATGAGTATGGTAAAACCGGTCACTCAAAGATTTTTACTTTTTGAGGCACTTCATGATCATTTTGAAGGGCAATATTACACCATATCACAGACAATGATAACACGTAGTGCCATGCATCTCAGATTTGGCATTGTTAATATATATATGTATAATTGTAAGAAAATTCAAAAGTTACAAAACATCTGATTATTACTAAAGCTACATTCAAATACTGGTGAAAAATGTTCATGGCACCAAGTGTGTGTGCATTTGCAATTGCATAACAAGACTCGCTATTCATTAATAAGATTTTATTTATTTTTCGTTGTGTATGTCTGTAACTGAGTTTTTACAGGCGTGTATCAATCAGATATGATTATTTACGTCTGGGGACCGTCCTTTAACGTCACCATCCAAAAGACGTGACTCAGTTTCGAACCTGCGTCTTCGGCTGGATCAGTTGGTAACATCCATTGTTAGCTGGATTACACCCCACAACGCCCCGTTTCTTCTTTTAAAAAAGTAATTTTTCCTCCTTAATTTCCAGAACCACTGTAAGCATTGTGGAAAGTTGTTCTGCGCAGACTGTGTTACCAAGTCTGTTGAGAGTGGGCCGAGGAGGAGAAAGATGCCCGTCTGTGATGTCTGCCATACACTGCTGGTCAACGAGTCAGCACCTTACTTTAGCAAAGAAGCGCCGGACAACACGTAGCAGAGCCAGCCCAGTAGTAGAAATAGAACCAGTAGAATTCTTATTGTAGACATAGAATATACAGTGCGGCCCAGAAAAAACGAAACCGAGAATTATTGTTGTTTTATCATAACTTAATCACAATTATAATTAATAAATGACACATAGTTGTAAAGCTTAGATCTTCCTCTTTCGTTTGATGCAACTCATATGATGCTTATTTTAGGCATGAGTGATTAAAATTAATTTGAACCAAAAAGTCATTTGACGGACGGTATCTGAATTTCAAAAAGAAATCACTTTTCTAGAAAGTTCAGTTGCTGCCCTTTCATATGACACATCAATCAGGAAAAATGAGCTAGGAATAACAAAGTTCTGTGTGTCTAAAGTAGTGCTTGCATTTACATAATTTCATTAAACCAACTCGTTTTCACTGGCTGCCTGCCATAGCAACCAGCAGCATTGATAAAAGACTTAACTCCGTTTCGTTGACAATCAGCCTTGCATGAAGTCTTTCGTCTATGAAAGAAATGAAAGAAGAGGATTTAAGCTTTACAAATATGTGTCATTTATTCATTATAATCGTGAATAAATTATGATCAAACATCGATGATTCTCGGTTTCGTTTTTTCTGGGACGCACTGTATAAAATGGTTAGCTTTTTCTTTGTAAGTTAGAGGGTTTGTAAGAATAGAGATACAGAATTTAGAGTAGCATGTTGGAATGTGATGATAGATATGTGGTAAGAATGAAACTTTATCAAATATGGTTTCTTCTCAAAAGTGTAGACAACGGCATTATTACATTTGTAAGTCATTGTCATGTTGTATTCAATGAATTCAATATGAATTGCTTTTTTTTTTATAGTATTACTCCCTTTATTTGCACATGCACGGAATCACTTGTTGATTGCTGACTAGTCACTTTCTATAAATGATATTCACACATGATATTATTCACAATTTCAAAGAAAGCTACTTTCTAAAAATTAAGATTAACATTATCAGCCGTATTTTTGCCAACAGATTGAATGCACATGGCTTATGGAGTGCCAAGTGTTCACCTCTGAATTCCACTCAGACATTATTTCTTTGTAACATTTTTTTAATTTTTTTTTTAATAATTTTAATTGCGGAATGGAGATATAAACAAAAGTTCTCCTCATTAAACTATGAGGAATATGTCTCGTTGCCATCTAAAAATTCAATTCAAAATTTCTCAAAGTTTGCTTCCAAACTGTCTCTCAATAGTGTCCTTTCTTTCGATCAAGTTGAATTTTGAATAGATATGAATAGTTGATATAGTAATATTATGATCATTATATTTGAACTTATCTGACTATATTTGAGCTTTATATTCAAATTTTCAAAAATTTGCCATATTGATTCCTTCCATTCATGTTTGAAAAAGTATGATCATTTTTCGTCAGTCATATACTGTCCACTGCTCCGAACTATACCTAATACACTTTATGAAAGTTGTATCCTTCAACCGGTCGGATGCCATTTTATTTTGCTTTAACAGTCATTTCCCAAAGAAAGGTGTTTTGCGGGCTTGGTATTCAGCATGTTAAGATATACACAGCAATATAAACTCATGCAGAAGATGTTTAATGCTTTATAGGCACACATGTACTTTTTAAGTAAACAGTAATCCATGTATTTACATTTTTGCCTCACACAAAGTAATGACCCTTTTCAAACAAAATTAGTATCACTACTACCAAAGAAGGGTAAAGGAAGGGTTATAGCAAATCTAGCTTCTATTAGTAATGTGTTGTGTTTTGGTCATAAGATATTTCCAAGTGTGTTTGATTGAGATATTTTTGTTCAAAGGCAAAATGTATTCATTACCAAATTTAGTTATGTGATTGCATGTCTATTTCTAGTGACATGTGTATGCCATTCGTGTTTAAGTTATTAAGTTTAGTTTGCCTGAATTGAATGTCAGAATTTTGTTTCCTGGATAAAATTCAGTGTAGCTCCCTTGGTCCTTCTGTTTGCTATTGAAATATTTGTTTCTTCTATATGAGACGCTGCAGCATCGACTCATTTAATTCCTCATTTCTGTAATGCAAGCCCACTTAATCATTACTCCTCAATTGCAAGCTTAGGATGCTCTCTTACTAATTATATATAGAGTTTCGAAACAAAATAGATACCCACAAAACGGATTTCATGATTGAACATGTATGTATAGGGATTTTTACATTCATAGAAATCCAGACTATGCTTTTTAGATGTTTGGAATTGTCAAATTGAAGTTACGACAAGTACATGATTTTGAATGTCTAGTAAACTTAATCTTTCTTCTATAAAAGCCCCACTGCACTACTTATAGCTACTTGCGCCCTCTATAGCATACAATGGCTAAGCGGTCACCGTTGGTCCCCCATGGTCCCCTTTATCTTGTGTTAATTGAGAGCTGATTTGATGAGAGAACCACATGTCAGTGACCATGCAGTGAGGTCTAATACCTCCTTGCCAAACTAGTGCAGATAGGCTTTAAGAAAGATGTATCTCAAGATTATGTTCAGTGCTGCTTGTATGTGTGGAGTGAGAAATTACTTTCCTCAGTATTATTTGTATTCTGATAATATATATGTTGATATTTTTGTTATACTATATATTATGTGCTTTTCCCTCAATAATCAACCATTGTTTGCATATGTCACAGAAAACTCATTACTTTTTAGTATTTATTAATCTTCACTTCTTGATATACATGTATGTCCATTAGTCTTCTAGCTGTTTAGTGTAAGAACCTTTTAAAGCCGTTGTTACCACATACATGTCTGTCATCTACTTAATTAATCTTTTTTTTTTTTTTAACTCTTTCATCTTTTATGCACCTGAAGGTCACTTATACTATGTGTCATTATCATGCAAAATATTTCTTTGTATGATTATACTTTAACAGAGCTAAAATAATTTGCTACATGTATTTTGGATCGGCTTCCAATATTGTACTGAGATGCTTTTAGTCTCTGTCATCTGTAGAGATAATGATCGTCTTTTCACAGGAGGAGTGTTGATATGTGTAAATATTAGTATATAAACTATTAACTAGCATGATCATATATTATGTTATATGCAGTATATTTGTATATTTGTAAATTATTCAATTAACACGTGCAATGTATCATGTCATAGTCAGATTTGTGTGGAAAGTACCCCTATAATGTATCCTTACTAGCATCCTTCATTAATTTTGTTTGTTATATAAAGGTAAATGTTGTCATTATTTAATTTATTACCCTTTATCTTGTCTTTAACAGTAATAATTCCATCAAGTAGTAGTTAGATTCATACTACAGTGTATAAGAAAAGGAGTGAGAACAGTAAAGACATGAGCAATTTTACAAATACAAATGTCTACCTGTTAGAGATCCCTGGTAGATATAGCAATCGGTATATTTCAATTATATTTCATTCTTTTCTTTGTTTATCCTCTTCCAGTCAGTAAGGTACCTATTTACAAGTAGCAGAGACTATTTGCTCATGTTGGATCATGTTGAATCTTGGCAAATTGTAGCCTCACTGAAAACCTTTTTATATATATATATATATATATATATATATATTATATATATATATATAAGGGGCCCTTCCTGCCAATGTACAACAAGAGAGGGCGGGCATGTCCTGGATGTAATAATTCAGTTCATGCCTGCCCTGGTGAAAAAAAAACAGATGTTGGTTGGTCGGATTTGCTACTTATTAAACTACTGTAGTTCGATATGCAACATTTTGTCAAGAAAGCTACAAACCTAAATACACACTATTATGCGATGCATGCATCAATATGAGGATAAAATTCAATATTTTTGTGTTCATTTGTTGATGTGTATATATTGACACAACACAATAATTTTCAAACACCTTTATCAGTTTGCAATTCAGAGTTTCTCCATGAAAATTTAATTTCTTCAGTGTTATCACTTTAAAAAAACATGGTTTGTAAAATTCTTGTTTTAATACTAATCTTAAGTACTGGTGGTTGAGAAAAAGTAAACCTTAAGTGTTTATCTGACAGATGTTTGGTTGTTTGGATCAGCAAAATGTGAACAAAATCACAACTCCCTGAAATTACATTGTTTTGAGCTGTACATGTGGTCGGACAACAAGTGCTGGTTTACATTTTCTTACAAGTTTGTATGACATGTCAGCAGAGGTATATAGTCTGTTAAATCTACATAAGTTTTGGTAAATTCTGGAAATTCCTAGATTCTGTCATTATCAACACTCAAGATGACATTAAAGTTTGTTGCACTATGTGACGCAGATAGATGCTACGCATCATGTGTTCACAAAAATTACAAATCTTCCTACAGGTATTGAAATAGTTGAGCATTTATGTCTACTTGTATAGATGAAGTGCTGTAAAAGTTAAGTTATCTACTTATTTTTAAATACAATTTTGCTCTCTTCGTGCTGTAGGAAGATGGAAATCCAAATTGCCAGGCTTTGTTGTCCTGGGCTTATTACACTGGAATGACGGATGTAAATAATTGTTTTTATTATTCCCTTTTTACAGTACACTAAAAAAGAAAACTAACTGCTTTTGATATTGGGGTTTCCAGATACTTTCCTCTAGTGTCTGATATATAAGTAGCATCAAAAACAAAATTTATTTGAGTTTTAACTCTAAAATGTCAGTGTTTAGTATTGGTATTGAATTTTGGAATCGGATTTTCAGATTGACTGTTCGAGCAAACTTCACCCATTGACCAATGTGCTAGTCAACTATTTAATTTGATATGCAATCAACATCCCATGTTGTTTGAATGACTCAACAGGCTTTGTCTAATACTCTACTTGTGCTTGTAAAGGAAATGTTACACTTTCAGGTTTTGTTCAAGATTTAGTGATTAAAATACTTGATAAAACTGCATTTTATTTGAAAGGGCTGAATTTCAGTACTTATTTGTGTGTATTTGTGTGTTTTCTTTTACAGTATTCATTGCGATAAATTAATATTGATTTGAAATATTAAACATGTACAATGTTTAAGATTGAGAGATAGAAAGTAGAAACACCTATATAGAGAAAGAGGGAGAGATAGAGATCCAAAGGGATAGAGAGATATATAGATCCGAAAGGAGAGAGAGAGAGAGAAAGAGAGAGATAAAGATCCCATGGGAGAGAGATAGATCCGAAAGGAGAGAGAGACATCCCAAGGGAGAGAGAGAGAGAGAAAGAGTTAGAGCAAGGACATAGACGCACACAGGGGGGAGCTTTCTAATGTGAGTAGATTTTAAGATTAAGAAGCATAACAAAATGCTATAGTAGCGCATAATACAAAAAAATACAAAAAAGCGTCCCTAACTATCTATTTGACTTACATGCACTGAACTTTGACATGATCAAAGTCCATCACTACAACAATTAGGCTAGCAACCAGAGTAAAATGTTTACTCATCTAGAAATTTACTAGTACTTTGGAACAACAATAAATCCGTCGAAATAGTTTGAAAAGACCACTAGCAGACGACGCTACTAGGAGAATAAAGAATAGACAGTTGTTAAAGAACTAATAGAAATTCATCCCCTGACTTCAGGCTTGATAATCAATACGGGCTACTGATTTTGATCATTTAAATACGTGTATAAGTAGATGTTATTGTAATTTGATAATTTTGTTTGTAAAGTTGTGATTGAAAGTAAGCAAAACGTATACAATAGCGCTTTACAATAAGGGAATCCAATCAGCTGTCTATTTTCTTAATTTGTTATATTTAAATGCCGTACGCCACATGTTACGACATGTTGTTTACATGTATCAGCCCATCCGGATCCCTGTATAGAAGGGTACCGTATAGAAGTAGCGCATTATCAAGAACAACAACTTGCGATTACAATTTACAAGTGAAGTCAGTGAGTGAGGTCTAACTTTTTGAAAATGTCGAGCAAGGTAGTATCACAGCAGTTAATCACTGATCAATTCAGCCAGCAAAGATCAGGGCGAAGTCTTGAGAAATCTAAAGGAAAAGGCAAGCAAATAGTTGGAAGTCCTGCCGGGAGTCCGAGAAAATCTGCAGAGGCACACGTCGAAGGTGAGTACCCGACGCTTGGGGCGCAGCAGCAGCGGGCTGAGCCGGACTGCCATGTTTCTGTGTAAATGGGCAGGCGTTATGAAACTTGTGTCGTAACTAATGCAAATCTTTATTCACGAAATGTTGGAGATAATATTTGTGAAATAAACCCCTTTCATAGTAGATACAACAATTGAACAAATGTTTGGGTCCAATTTACCTGACACATTTACATTTACCTGACTGTGCGATAAACTTACAGCAAATCTCAAAAAGATCAACTCAATTCAATTCAATTCAATTCAATTTCAATTTCAATTTAGTATTTATTGTCCATTTCTGGATATTTGGTTTTCACTGGTGTAACATATACAGGTTAACATTTACTAGACTCTAATGAATTTACAAAAATGTAGACATTAACAGTAAATACACAAGGTTTAACATATGATTAGCACAGATTAACAGAGGATCGAATGTTGTTTTATAAACACTAATTCAGAACAATGGTTAACATAGTAAATGAAGCAGAGCAAAAGGAGGTGTCAGGTGATCAAACGAATTACCAGGTGAGATAAATATAAATATACCGAGGAGGTTTGGTATCCTATCTACCCATACATTTATTTTCGTCTTAAACCAATTTGGGAATTATTAATTAGATTAAATATGATATTAAAGTACAACACTGGGTCTTTGAGACATTCCGTTGTACATATGGATAGAGTTTGCTATTGAAGTAGACTTGGGAGCTACTTTATAGACACCATAACCAGACATGAAATACTCACTGGAAATGTATCAGGCAATCAGGCTTGACATCCTTAACTTCCAGTAAAGGTACGTCTGTTCGGTTGAGGTGTCGGTTGCATGAGAGAGAGAGTTCAGGTTGACTCTCATCCACGGAAGCTTCCAATAGGAATAGCGCCCTCTAGTGGTGAGGGTGGCTATTGCAGACTGCAGACGTCGTCTGCTAGCGTAGGCTGCTACTGGATACGGCTGTCGTCGTCTGCTAGCGTAGCTTGATATAAAAAACTACTACATTCCCCCCCGTTTCAAAGAACTCATCCCAGGGAGAACTGAACCCCTCAAAAAAAACTCGGGTGCCACAATTAGTGGCTGAAACCCGTTAAGACCGGCTTTTGCAACAGCCAGGTCCATCAATAACAACACACAAAATGTACAGAAAACAATGCCATCCTCCGGGAAAAAGAATTTCTTACTCTTTCCGTGAACAAAACCCTCCCTCCTTTGCCAATTTACAAAGGACAACCCTATTATACATCCCATAAATAAAAAAAACTATCACGCCCTCAAAAGGGCAATTTCATTATACACAGAATAATAGAAAAATAACATGCCGATCCCCTTTCTTTGTACTGAAAAAAACAAACAAGGGTGATCCAAACAGTATAGTTTTGTCGTTTTTGGAAAGGAAAAGCAGAAGCAAACGAAATCAAAGGGCGAATCGAGTGCCAGCAATGTGCAATTTATTTTAAACCAATGCAGTTTAAATAAAATGGCCTCGAAAAGACCACACCCAGTTTGCTACATCTATACAAATCATCAAACATTCTCCACAAATCACAAACATCCCCCAATAATCACTATTCCCCGATATCCCGGAGGGAATTGTTCAAGGAAAACATTACAGGGGTCAGTCACTTCGACACCCCACTCAAATCATTGCAGGAGTCACCGTCATCATCCCCCTTAAAACATTGTAGGGATAATAAACATCATCCCCCTTAAGATATTACAGGGATAATCAACATATTGTAAGGATAATCAACAACATCATCCCCCTAAAAACCTTACAGGGATTACAAACATCATCCCTTACCGGAGCTTATAGAGATGAAGCCCGTTCTTAGTGGTAGCCTCCAGTACTTTGAGCAGGGGCTCTTCCCGCGCAGAGGCCACCATTGCCCCCACCTCCCCGATGTAAGCAGGAGTGGAATGCTTCACTCCCTGGGGAGGGAAATACGGGGAATCCGTCTCCAACAGAAGCCTGTCCAGAGGAACCTGCTTCAAAGCCGCAAGCTGAGCCGGGGAGAATTGACTTACCATAGGAGTAAATCCAAAGTACACATGCTGGTACTCCTTTCTCCAGGCAGCGATCTCCCCGGAACCCAAGGAACAGCAGTGGATGTGAATCCTCTGATGCCGGGTTACATGCTTGCCCACTATTCTGCGACATTCCCGAGAAGGAGCTATTCCGAGTGGATCGGACTCCTCCCCCCGCAGGTGCAGGATTAAAACACGTCCCGCACACCCAATCGCAAGCTGCGCAGCCAGCAAACGGCGCTGAGGTTCCCAGCGATCAGCAGCCACGGAGAAATCCAACCCCATCTCCCCGATTGCCACCACTTGACCCCCACACACCATATCTGCGACCAGGTCCACATCACGCCACCCAATACTCGAAATTCCCGCGTGCTTCGGGTGAATCCCAACCGACACAGGGAAACATGGATCTGCAGGGAGCCGAATTTCATGAAACCGACGAGGGTCAACGTAATTCATTACCCCCCCACAAAGACGCACAGGAACATTGGGGGCCCTGCCCGAAATGGCAGTCACACACTCCATCCCCTTTTTCTTTTGAACGGACTCCATCCGGTCCAAATGAAAATGGCTATCAAAAGCCCGGGGAACTGCCGGCCTCTGAGTCATCTGAGAATAAGTTGACTCAGGAGCTGGCTCGGAACCGGAAACCGGGGGTGTAACATCCATAGGACTTACCTCTGGTGCTTCCCTCGCAGGAGATGGAACCCGTGCCTCTGGGATATCCGACCCGGCATCAAAGGAGGCCTGGGGGCGAACATCAGGAGCACCCAGGCTCACCTTCCGGGAAGGAGGTTCCTCCACAACTTTGCGCGGCGCTACCGCGACTCGGCGACCAAGGCGCTGCAACTCTCTCCACTGGGGGGTGGTCAATTTAGACGTCAAAAACGCCAACCACCTCCAGTGTAACAAAGCCGCAGGACTATTAGGTGGGTGCACGATCACTGCCCCGGGATTCTTCCAGTGCATCTCTGACAGGAAATATTGAGCTTCCCGCTCGAGATGCTCTGGCACGTCATTCGTGTATTCCCAAGTCTGACCCGCGCACAGGGACTTCAATCCCTGCAAATCATCGGACCCCGTAAGCGTCTTTGCGATGTAACGCAAGCAACCGACTTGCGCCAGAGTAACATCCCGCATAGGCCCAATTGCAGTTCGCAAAAAACGAAAACACTCCGGCATATGAGAGTATATATGCCATTTGATCGGGCCTCTAGGCCTAACTGAACAGCCAGGCACCGGACAAGGACGAGTTTTCCGGATGGGTCCCCCCCAACCATCATCCTCGCTAGCCCGCTTAGTCCCAGAACGACTTCTCTCATAACCCCTTGAACCACCCGAATATGTCTCAGGTGCACTGGGTCGCGGTACGTACTCATACCTCGGCCTACCCGAATACATCCCAGGTTCCCTGGTTCGCGGTCTGCGCTCAAACCGAGGCCTATCCAAATACCTATCAGATCGCGGTTCATGCTCGACCCGCGAACTATCCGAATACATACCCGATCGCGGCGCGTGAGCATTACCCGGATGCGGCCTCCGAAGCTCAGGCTCCGGGAGTTGCTGTCTGCTAGCACCCCCTTTGCCATGCCTCTTTTTTCGGCGAACAACGTAATATCCCTCCGGACGATTGAAAGGGTCAGCCCCTAAATGAGGGTCGTCCTCGCCCGCAGTCTCCATAGGAGAAACGCTCTCTCCAGGAGTCACATTCCCAGGACCCGCCTTAGCTGCAGTTTCCTCCCCATCTCCAGGGATCAAATTCCCCGGAGTAGACAAACTCTCCCCAGAACCCGCCCTAGCCGCAGTGTCCTCCCCAACTCCAGGGGTCAAATCCCCCGGAGTAGAGAGATCCACCCCAGTCACACCCTCCGAACCCGTGGCTACCGGAGGGGGCGTTGCCGGAGCGCGTGATACAGTAGGGGGAATCGAATTCGATTCCCCTGTTAACAAACCAGGCCCCTCGGGAGACCATAACCTACGGGAGGAACCCTCCCGATACTTACCGGAAAGGAAAGCCAGAGCGACAGAGACTTGCTGCGTCTCCACCATCTCCGGCTTCCACCAAGGAGTCCCTGGGTCCAGGTACAGCTTACCTGACAATATCCCCTCTTCCCGGGGACATATATTCCTGTCAGGATCCGGATGAGGAAAGCGGTTGCATAAGTCAGAGTGGGGTATACAATCGAGCAAGTGCTCCTGCAGGCACTCCACCCAACCTACCTCTCCCTTCTCTACCGCTAACAGGAACAGCCGATCCAGGTGGTCGAGCACCTCCGCCCACGGGACCAGCCGAGGAGCCATCCGGGATACCAATCCCGGATACAGAAGCCTGCGATCCGTGACCGCCTCCTCCACCAACTTGTTCAGAGCGCCCGAGAACGACGCCTCCTCTTCCGTTCCCGGGGGCGGCGGCTGAGAGCCGCCATAGTCATCATCCATCTGTAAAGGGAATTAGATAAACGGGAAAGATATCAGCATACTTACCAAAAGTATACTAACAACGTAATTCTCCCCCCCACCAAAAAAACATTCCCCACTACTCCACCCCTCCAGGAACCTTGGCCCGGCAAGGTGGACATGAATACTTATCCATAGCCTCCCCTTCACTCGGGGAAACATCAACACACTTACCATGATACCACTCCTCACAATGGTCACACTGAATCATGAAATCCCCATCATCTGGTTTCCGGCACAAGCAATAAACTTCAGTCCGATGCACCTGCCTTTTTGTGCTACACCAGGTGGGCACGCCCCTATCTCTACATGGCTTCAGGCGATCCTGATGCCTAGTGGAGATCATGTTGCGAAGCTCCACTCGATATAGATCGGGCGACAGTCTTTCTGCTATCCGAGCTGGTCCCTTCCAGGGGGGCTTCAATTTTCTACAGACTCCCTTCAGACTAGCAGAGTCCAGAACATCACTAAATCACCCTTATTGTATTGCCGCCGGA